TCATTTCTGTTTTCCACTAACATATTTGGGTAAAATGACGTTGCAGAACACACAAAAACAATACGATTAGGATCATCCAGAGTAGACAGCAAGTAAATTAATCAGCAGCATTCATAATCTTTCGGGGGTTGCTATAAACATTGATTATAACATTAGCAAAAACTTGTGCAATAATTCAGCTGTATACAGCAATCTGAATGGGAGGAAACATGTAACAATCAATCCACTCAAGAACAAATATGTAAACTTGGATTTGATGAGTAGTGGTTACAATTAGTGATGCTGTTGGATTTAGGACACACCCATAAGTATTCAATCTCAGTTAGTAAAGTAAGTAAAGGTCCCCTTTTCCAGGTCTCTAGGTGTATTGAGACTATACCTATATTTTATAGACCAATCGGCACTTGGTGGGTGATGTGGTCTGCATCACATCAGCCGCCTTAACTTTCCAGGACCGTACCATGGGTTTCAAGGTCATTTTTTTAAATTAAAAAAAAGATTCAATCTGAGTTAGCAGTATTTATTCCAGGATAAGGACTCGGCAGGCAAGGATATTTCATATGATGCATCAAGATTTTACACAATGGGTTGTATGTATGGTTTCAGTTTTACTGGCCTTGTTTTTTTTTTCCCCTAGGTCACGAGGGTCAAAGCAGGATGTGTCTCCTCCCATCACAGGGTCAACATAGTGTCTACTTTACTTCTGCGTTCTCTGACAGCATAATGTTCTATAAGTTGGATAGTTCCGAGGGATGTGTTCAGGACCCGCAACTCCAGGTCCATTTGGTTATTTGTCCTTACAATACAGTGGTTCTAAACCTGTGGGAGGGGACTCCTTTGGGACCATTTCACAGTGGTTACCTGACCATCAGAAAACACAAATTCACTGAAGTTACGACTCCTTGGGACCATTTCACAGGGGTCACCTAAGAACATCAGAAAACATATATTCACTGAAGTTATGAAGCAGCAATGAAAATAGTTGTATGGTTGGGGTCACCACAAAAAGAGGAACTGTATTAAAGGGTCGCGGCATTAGGAAGGTTGAGAACCACTGGTATAACAGATGATTCAATGAAAGAGAGAGTCAAGAAGTTTGCAATGGCTGGTTCTGAGGTGCAAGGTGATGGTTTGCTTTTGCTTCTGGGGCTTTTTTTCTTCTTTGCATTCCCTGGAAGTAAATTCTACTGGAAAGTCCTGGTTGCCTGTCCTCATCCGGATTTTTAGTCTTGTTCCAGATTCGAGTTTTGCATTTTCACCCATTTTACAGATGTGGCTTATTTGTGTGCAGACTGCTGGTTCCTCACCTCTCACCCAGATGCACCCCTAATTAGTCTACTTTTAGGATATGCTTGGGGGCGGGGAAACAGTGGGTCTGTGCTTTTTAGCAGCAACAATAGGGAACTGGAACCCACCCTAGGAGCTTTTGGGGTTGACAGTGTAGCCTGCGAAGGCTATACACATTTAACTGAAGACTACCTTAAATTCAGTACAGAAGCCTGAGACCATGTGAAGAAGACGAAACATAAAAACATCATCCAAAAAAATAATAATAATCAATGCTGTTAATAATATGCTTCAGAAAGAAAACAATATCTTGAGCAGATGTAAGTAAAATAAAAAAGTATAAAATAATGAAACATCCCCAACCTGTTCTCACAGGAGCCTCAATACCAAGCTGATTTTTAGCAAAAGAAACATTGTCATGGCATCCAGTTGACCATGTACGTTGTTTGAAAAGTGTTTGTTTAAATGATACTCAAGGCACACAGACATAAGAGGTGGTGTGGCCAACTTTACCACTTGTTTGATTGGGGTAGGATAGGAAGGTTTCAAACAAAAGCATATGAAAGATGGATTTAAAAATCTTATACACTACTATCAGGATGATAATCTTCTAGCTTTTATTCTCAAATATAGCATAAGCCCTAAATCAACTCAAGACAAGTTGTCCTATTCCTTCCTATGACACTCAGCTTAACGCCAACCTTCCCAATTTGTTTCATTTCATTCTCCAACTTCCCCCTCCATGTGGTTTTATTTTTATTTTTGAGGTCTACTTTTAATCCTTTTACCCTGTGGGTCATAACAGCCAGAAATAACGCAAACATAATTAATTTGTAGGATGTTTTTATGGTGTCACCTGCAGCATTACATATTCCATTTGGTTAAGCCGATTTCCTTCCCCTTGAAAAAAAAAAAAAATTCAGCACCTCTTTAATTGTTTTTAATCTCAAAAGTGACAACATATTTGGACATGCACACGTTTATTTTGAAACAGGTGATTAATGGAAATGATATTCATCCTTCAGACAAAATCTGTAAATAATCAACAAAGAAAGATGACAAACACAATAAATGCTTACAGCAGAGCTTTCCAAACTTGTTATGTTAGTGACACCCTTTTTAGCCAAAATAATTCTGCGACACAGTAATTCAGTCTACAAGCAAACTAGAGGTTAAACTATCCGTTACAAGAGACACTGACACATACATAAACTGTAATAACTAGAAATTTACACAACACACCTTCACACTGCAGCCAACATATTAAGGTGTCATGGCACACAGTTGGAAAAGCCCTGAATCAGACTGCCGGATTGCTGATTAATCAAAGAATTTTAAAATATACATGAATACAATTTTAGGCTTGCTTGTCTTCTGAGCACAAAAAAAACTGTTTGTAAATGTCTGCCTCATAATAATTTTTTAACGTTAAAAAATATAAATTGTTAAGTTAAAAAAATATACACCAGTCAGCAATATAATTTGATTTTTACACTCATTGTTTTATAGCACTTGAAATCAAAAAAGTAAATATATGTTTTTTAAAAAAGTAAGAAAAATATACATTCCATGCAGTGACAATGTAATGAACCAGTTGCTTCCATGACCAGTAAATCAAAGAAAATAAATATACAGCTAACATAAACAATTAACAGGGTGTATTGTAACCCTTTTGCCAGTGTCACTGACATTTGTGCTGTGCCAAAAGTACACATCCTGGGGAAACCAGTATCTAGGTTTCACACCTTAGCACGGTTCTCACTTGGCCTAGTTGATTCTGTTTGCACCTAAGTGTTTATGAGGCCTGGATATGATATTTACTATTTTTTTTTAAAGCACGAGGGTGGAGAGCTGTATTTGCGGAGTGGGGGGGGGGGGTGACATGTTACAGTCACTACAACGTCACAATCTGTACTTCAGCCTTGCCTGGTCACTTAGTGATTTTAGACAAAGGGAATTTATTCATTTAATTATCAGCTGTATTTGTGTTCTAAAGCCCCTTCATATACTTCCAGACTGAACTTTTAAAATTTGCACAAATTTGAAGCACAAAAATAAAAAAATTCATTTAGTGATCTGTGTAGTAAAGTTGTGGTTTCACCCTCTTTTTTTTTTATGTGAAACAAGTTTTCTTTATTACTCATACATAAATTCACACATCAGTGACATTTACTTAAGCACACGAACAGAACCAATTGCCCACATCAGAAGGAGACAATCTAACAACCTGTTTGTTCTTGAAAATATCAACAAAAGTACCATTTTTAAACACCTAGGACTCAATATGTAGAACAGTGATCACTGTGTAAAGTACCGCTTTACATCTTCTCTGGACAGTTTTAACACCGGCTCAGTCTATATCAGTTATTTATTTACTTCATATTTGTTCTGAACATTTGTTACTTTAGGCCATTATATCCCAGCTGAATTGATTTTAACCCAGATAGTTAATACCTAATAGTAGCAACTTAATGGGTAAAAGTTTACTTATATCTTTCCCATGAAAGTTTAGAAAAGCAAAAACAAGGAAAACTAAACAAAATTCAGAGCACAATAGCGTGTGTGTTTTTTTTAACACATAAACATGCAAAATAATGAAAGCAAAGAAAATATAGTAGCTGCACAACATGATTACAAATTTCATAAAATATGATGAGAAAATACATACAGTATGAGGACAAACTTGAATGACAACAGTACATGCAATATGATGACAAAGTAAACATACTTCATTGACAACAGAACACACACAATATGATGACAAAGTTAACATACTTCAATAACAACAGAAAACACACAAAATTATGACAAAGTAAACATACTTCAATGACAACAGAACACACACAATATGATGACACAGTTAACATACTTCAATAACAACAGCATACACACAATATGATGACAAAGTTAACATACTTCAATAACAACAGAAAACACACACACACAATATTATGACAAAGTTAACATACTTCAATGACAACAGGACAAACACAATATGATGACAAAGTTAACATACTTCAATGACAACAGTAGACACAATATAATGACAACAGAACACACACAATATGATGACAAAGTTAACATACTTCAATAACAACAGAAAACACACACACACAATATTATGACAAAGTTAACATACTTCAATGACAACAGGACAAACACAATATGATGACAAAGTTAACATACTTCAATGACAACAGTAGACACAATATAATGATAAAGTTCCTACAATATGATGCCAATGTAGACATACAACAATGACACAAATACACATAATATGATGATAAGGTAAATATACTACAGTGACATAACCCCACATAAAACGATGATACAGTAAACATACTATCATGACAAATTACACACACTATGATGACAAAGTACCCAGAATATGATGCCCAAAAAGTACTGTGTCATACAAGACTGCTTGGAATACACTTATGCCTCAATTAACATACAGAAATATACATTTATGCTTGCATAAGTATATTTAAAAAAAAAAAAAAAAACATTGAGCCTAACTAAAAACCTGAAACAAAATTGCACAACATTAAACAAATACAATTTGTAAGAAACTTTACAGCTTGATGACATTGACAAAATGGCACTGGCAAACACATGCGCAGATATAAAAAAATTGTAAACTGTGGATAATTAATTGATTAGGTTTGAAGACTTCAGCAAAGACTGTCCCTGGAAAACATCCATGCACATCCTTACGCCTGTTGTGTTCCAGCCATTTTGCTCAGAAACTGTGGAAGTGGGGAAAGACGGGTAAAGACAAAGTTGTTAGGACAAGTACTGCAACAATGAATACCAAAAATTAACTTTGCCACAACTGACGGAGATTTTTTTACAACTGATCCGGGCTCCTGGGTCAACTCAGTCTAAAAATGGCTACCAGGAAAAGTCCTGGAAAATATAGAAGGCACACATGATGTTGACTAAAACACCTATCAAGGTTAACCTTTTACTCTGCAAATGCCCCAAAAAAAAATTGCAATGGGCTGGAAACCTGTGGAAGTTCCCAGAATAAAATCCTTAAAACCAACAACCCTATTATATAGGTAACTAATCATTTTTTTTTTAATGAAATAAGAGTTCTAAATATATAAATTTAAAAAAAAAAATTCATAATATAAAGATACATAAATAGGTAATCAATAAACATATGGTGAAGCATTAAATAGAACACATTTTCTGGGCCTAAAACAAATGTAGCGGTGACTCATGCAGTGACCCCATTTCATCTATCACCAAGGCTTACAAGAAAATTTAAAATCAACCTGGCTTAAAAAGCCATTGTGGTCATCAGGAACCTTCCGACCTGCCGCCCCCCCCCCCCCCCCCACCAATGTTATTATTAGTTACTATATTCATATCCTGACCTTACTCTAAGCAGGTGCACAAAGGACCAATGGTATTTAACTACACTTTTCAAGAAGAAGTCACTGCCGACATGGCCATATACTGATTGCCAATTACAGAATGTGTACTGACTGGAAGTGACTAGGTTTAGTCTTTCCGGGGCAACAAGATAAACTGACCTATAAACATACGAGCTAGCAACATACGCTTGATGCACCCTAGGCATAAATCGAGTCCTTTGCTTTATTTACTGTGTCAACTGACCCTTGTTTTATCAGAAAACATAATGCACGGGTTTCCAACCCACGGATCGTGACACCGAATGGAGTTGGAAAGGGTCTTCTGTAGGCTCGTTGGGCGGTGGCGAGCTTTGACAATTTTTGAAAACAAAAACAAAACAAATAAACAAAAAATCAGGTGTTTGCATCCTGCACAGAGAAAACTCGATACTTTCTGTCTTCTCATTGATACAATTAAAAGCCTATTTTATACTAAGTTTATTCAAGGGCCAAGATGTTGAAAATGGGGACTGTCACGGGACAGAGGCCCAATCACCAGAACAGAAAGTTCACTAAAACAATACAGCTGGCAAAGATTAGCCTGCCTCTTAATAGGCCTCTGCCGGGCAGTCCATTAAATAGCCCTGATGTAGGTCTCAATTGCCTCTATAAAATGGTCACCTCTATAAAATGGTCACCACTATAAAATGGTCACCACCATAAAATGGTCACCACTATAAAATGGTCACCACTATAAAATGGTCACCTCTATAAAATGGTCACCACTATAAAATGGTCACCACTATAAAATGGTCACCTCTATAAAATGGTCACCACTATAAAATGGTCACCACTATAAAATGGTCACTAAAATGGTCACCTCTATAAAATGGTCATCTCTATAAAATGGTCACCACTATAAAATGGTCACCACTATAAAATGGTCACCACTAAACAACAACAAAGTTAGGAACTGCTGTAATAATGGAAACCAAACTTAGGAACCTGTGACATATTTATGGCATAAGCAGTGACTAAGGAAGCTTAGCATTATTCCTCAGAAATCTTAGCTTGAAAATCTAACAGTTAAAAAAGTTAAAAGTCGAACTGTTTGACTGAGGCTAACGATGATAAGGGAAATTATTCATACAATTCCCCGTGTGGGTTCCAGGGCCCCACTGTGGGGAGAACAAGAATTGACCCACTGTGTGCCTAAAGGCATGTCGTAGCAGTCGACTGATTTGGAGCTTTCTTCTAAGTCGGAGTACATCTGCCTGAGAGGCAAGGAACCAAAAGTCTGCAAACAAATTAGTTAGACCTGTGAAACAGATGCGCACGCAACACTCAGTTTCTGGAACAGGACTAGAGTCCAGAAGTGGACGAGCAACCAGAAGCAACCAGAACTTTCCACCAGAGTTTGCATCCGGTGAACGCGAAGAAGAAGAAGATTAATACAATCACTGTCCTATTATGCCATTACATACCACATAGGGTTCATTCCATCCTATCCAGTGCAAGCACCCTTGGCTTCTCTCATCTTCTTCTTTGTTCACCGGCTGTAAGCTTCGGTGGAAAGTTATGGTTGTTCGTCCACTTTCACCTTGGCTTCATTCCAGGGCCTGAGTTTTGGGTGTACATCCGTTCTACTGGCATATCTGTGTGCAGCTGGTTGTTCCTTGCCTCTCTGCCAGATATTCTTCGAAGGAACTTCCTAATTAGTCAACTCTTACAACATGCTTGTTGGGGAAGGCAGTGGGTCTATTCTTGTTTTCCCCACAATGGGGCCCCGGAACCCACATGGAAAGCTTCTGTCATCAAAGTTAGCTGTAATGTTTCTCTTGGACGTCCTAGTTTCCTCAATCCCTCCATTTCCTATTTCAGTGATAAAGAAATGCCATCTGCTATAAAACTGTTGGGTAAACTTACAAGGTTAGGTCAACCCCAGAGACATAATGGCCAGGACAACACTCTGCTGGTCAGGGATTAAACTTCAACCCTCAAAGGTTCAAAGGTGAAAGGATCAATTTCACTGCAATGGGTTAACCCATATAGATATCTCTCCCCCACTCCGCCCACCCACAAAACAGCAAGCCGCATGCCAAGAGCACCACACAAAGCAGGAACTTCATAGCTTCAGTGACAATTCCCTTGATATCCATAAAAACTGCACCTATCAATGATGTTTCCGTGAAATGAGATCACATCCTTCAAAGTGCGAGGTAAATGGCGTCATTTCAACACCTGACTATAAACAGTAACACAACACACTTAACATTAGAGAATGAAATAAAGGTACCAACCTTGGACAAGTCTACTCCGGTTAGAGCCTGTACAGAAGGAGGGAGCTGACTAAGCAGCCGATTAACTTCTCCTGTCACGCGGTCATCACCAACCAATACGATTTCGTCAGTCTTGGACAAAGGTGCTGATACTTCTGCGGCAATCTTTAGAATGTAAACAAATAATTATGATAAGCAAGTATGATGCATTTTATAACCTTTTTGGCTCTCCTCCGAACTTCTACCCCCGCAGTTTTGCGGCCTGAAATATCCGTTCGGGGCGCAGTCCAATTAAAAATATGCCAGCTCCGTATAACGAAACAAATGCTCTAACAGGGTCTCAGCGATATGTTACTTGCGGACCTGTTTCTTATTGTTTCTGATTACCTGACAATTTTAAGAGACGCAACACTGCAGACGATAGTAGCAGACGACGATAATAGCGACCGTTGACACTTTCCATTGTCGAACTGTCTGCCGACGAACAAATCGCGGCATATCTAGGATCTGCTCGTAAAAACTAAACAAATGCTCTAACAGGCTCTCAGCGATATGTTACTTACGGACCTGTTTCTGTGACTATGCCTCACCGCCGACCGTATCCCCCGTGCCGCTAGTTTAGTACCTAGTTTAGCCCCCCGGGGAATACCCTCGGCGATGAGTTTAATCGCGTTTTGCGCATGCCGACAAGTCTGACATCTACCATTGCTAAATCCTCAATCGGAAGAACATCGTCTGAAATGTCTCAAAATTGTCAATGGTCGCTTTTATGGTCTGCTAGTATCGTCTGCAGAAAACGCTCGACATTGTCACCGGTCGCTTTTATCGTCGGCTACTATCGTCTGTAATGTTGCGTCTCGTGACATTGTAAGGTACTCCTAGTTTTGCCGCAATTTGTTCCTCAGCAGGAACTCCGACAAGTCCGTACTTTTAATTGGACTGCGCCCCGAACGGATATTTCAGGCCGCAATACTGCAGGGGTAGAAGTTCGGAGGAGAGCCACCCTTTTTTGTGTGTTGAAAAGCAAAAAAGATGTTTACAGACAATGTCAAGAGCACTGTTTTACTACATCAAGATGGCGCACTCTTTCTTTCTCTCTCTCTCTCTCTCTCTCTCTCTCTCTCTCTCTCTCTCTCTCTCTCTCTCTCTCTCTCTCTCTCTGTGTGAGTGTGTGTGTGTGCATGTGTTTGGATGTGTATGTATGTATGCATGTGGGTGTATATGTGTGTGAAAGTGAGTGGGTTTGCGTGTGTATGTAGGGGTGTGTGCGCACGCGAATAGGCGTATATATTTTATCACCAGTGCTTTTGTGTTATTGCTCGATATTCATAATATGCATTTTATTATATGAACATAACATGCTTTACTGATAAAATACAACTGTTGTGTGAAAGACAGGTGTTTGGAAGGGCTGAATGTAAGACAGGCCTGCATGCCCAATTTGTGATCTTCTGAAAATAAAGTTTGTTCATTCCTTCTCTCTCTGTGCAGAATGACTTGTTTATCTGCAGAGAGTACAACACAAGAGCAAACCTCCGCAGTTCCAGTGACAACCCCAATGGATCTCCACTGGCAACCCCCAAGGGAGCTCCAGTGACAACCACTGATGAGCTCTAGTTAAAAACCCAAGGCAGCTCCAACGCCAACACCAGTGATCTCCAGTGACAACCACAAGGGAGCTACAATGACAACCACAAAAGATCTCCAGTGACAACCACAAGGGAGCTACAGTGACAACCACAGAGGAGCTCCAGTGACAACCACAAGGGATCTCCAGTGACAACCACAAGGGATCTCCAGTGACAACCACAAGGGAGTTCTAGTGATAACCACAGAGGAGCTCTAGTGGTAAACCCAAGGGAACTCCAATGGCAACCCCAAGGGAGCTCCAATGACAATCATAGAGAAGCTCCAGTGACAAACCTAAAGGAACTCCAGTGGAAACCACAAGGAAGCTGCAATGGCAACCCCAAGGAAGCTCCAATAGCAACTGGTAAATATTTACAGTGTATATATTATGCAATATATCTTTGTCATTGAGGGTTAGAAGAACTCTTGCTTGCTATATACATCCGGTTTTATCATATGGCTGTGAGTCCTGGACAATCGGTAGGCAGGCCAATTTCTTGAGGCCTTAGAGATGTGGTTTTATTAAAGAATGCTTAAAATACCTTGGACAGCCAAAAAGAGCAACCAAGAGGTTCTAAAATAGGCAGGAGTTTTTTCTGTTCCAAACTGACACTAGCATACAGGTCAACCCAGCCTAAAATGGGTACCAGGCAATATCCTGGAAAGTAAAGGTGTGATGCTAACCACATCCCCATCAACAGAAATATGAGTAGCCCACATGCCCATCAACAAAAATATGAGTAGCCCACATGCCCATCAACAGAAATATGAGTAGCCCACATGCCCATCAACAGAAATATGAGTAGCCCACATCCCCATCAACAGAAATATGAGTAGCCCACATGCCCATCAACAGAAAAATATGAGAAATATAGTAGCCCACACATAGCCCCACATGCCCATCAACAGAAATATGAGTAGTATGAGTAGCCCCCATGCCCATCAACAGTAGCCCCACATCCCCATCAACAGAAATATGAGTAGCCCACATGCCCATCAACAGAAATATGAGTAGCCCACATCCCCATCAACAAAAATATGAGTAGCCCACATGCCCATCAACAAAAATATGAGTAGCCCACATGCCCATCAACAAAAATATGAGTAGCCCACATGCCCATCAACAGAAATATGAGTAGCCCACATGCCCATCAACAGAAATATGAGTAGCCCACATGCCCATCAACAGAAATATGAGTAGCCCACATGCCCATCAACAGAAATATGAGTAGCCCACATGCCCTTGGCACATCTAGTGTAAAACAGGATCCCTTAAATATTGTTGTTGTTGTTGTTTACTGAGGACTACTTCTCACCTTTGGTAACGTTTCCATAACCAAATTCAACATTGCAGCTTCTCCGTATTGCTTGTAGGCCGCTGCCTTCAGCCTCATTCTCTCAGCCTCAGCCTTGCCTACAGCCTCAATAGCTGCAGCCTCAGCTCCTCCCAGAAGTCTGATCTTCTCAGCATCGGCTCGGGCTGCTTCCACCGTCTGGGTCCTGGAAATGTACAGACCACAGGTTGTCGGGAATATGCCATGAAAATGTGATAATAGGAATACACTGTGTGATAAAAAGAATACTGTGTGATATTAGGAATACACCGTGGTAACAGGAATACACTTTGTGAAAACAGTAATACACTGTGATAATAGGAAAACAATGTGATAATAGGAATACAATATGATAATAGGAATGCACTGTGATAACAGGAATAAATCATCAAAACCGGAACATCACAATGACAGAAAAACATTATGACAATGGGAATAAATTATGAAAACAGAAAAAAAATGCATCAAAAAGAAGAATCTGTGACAAATGGAATATACTGCTACAACAGGAATGCATCATGTCAACGAAATACAGGAATACTTTGTAACAACAGAAGTATAGGAAAACACTGTGACATCCCTGTATGGGTTCCGGGGCCCTATCATAGAGAAAACAAGAATAGACCCACTGTTTACCCAAAAGCATGTCATTAGAATCAACTAATTTGGAGCTTCCTTTGAACTCGGAGTGCATCTGCCTGAGAGGCAAGGAACCAGCAGTCGGCAAACAAATGAGTCAGATCAGTAAAACGGATGCACACACAACACTCAGGCTCTGGGACAGGACAGCAGTCCAGAAGTGGATGAACAACCTAAACTTTCTGCCAGAGTTTACAGCTGGTGAATGCGAAGAAGGAGGAGAAAACACTGTGACAACAAGAACGCATCATGACAACAGAAATACAGAAATACTTTGTAACAATAGAAATATAAGAATACTTTATAACAACAAAAATATAAGAATATTCTGTAACAACAGAAATATAAGAATACCCTGTAATAAAACAAATATAAGAACACTCTGTAACAACATAAATATTTGAATATCCTGTAACAAGAGAAATACAGGAATACTTTGCAACAAGAGAAATATATATATATATATATATAACATTTATTTGTTGTCTTCTAACTTGCAAGTAGCCCTGGCCATATCAGAACTGACCTTTGACCTTCTGCCAACTGTGTCATCTTGTAGGCTTGAGCTTCAGCTGGTCGTTTGACCATGGCAATCAACTCTTTCTCCTTCCTGAGAATCTCCTTCTCCTCAACATCAATTAATTTCCTCCTCTCCACCACCTCAATTTCCATTTCTTCACTACGGATTTTCTGTTTCTCCTTCGCTGCCTGTAGCTCGTATGCAAGCTCTGCTTCAGCTTTCTGCAATATACAATATATGCAAGTTCACTTTCAGTTCAACAGAGAAATATATGCAGCCTATATCACATCCTCAACTTTTACTTTCCAAAACCACGTGTGAGTTTTGGGGTCCCATTATGGGGAGAGAGAGAGAGAATAGACCCACTGACACCCAAAAAAGCACATCATAAGAGTCTACTAATTAGGGATGTTTCCTTTGAAGTCCGAGTGCATCTGCCTGAGAAGCAAGGAGCCAACAATTTACATACAAATAAGCCACATCTGTAAAATGGATATTCAAGCAAAACTCAGGTTCTGCAACAAGACCAAAGTCCAGAAGTGGATGAACTACTAGAACTTTCTGCCAACATTTCCAGCCAGTGAAGGCAAAGAAGAAGAAGAAGACCTTCCAAGACATTATGAGCACCTGCTTGAGGCTGGACACACCTGGAAGTCCAGTTAAATCGCAGGAAAATTCTGCTCTGATGAAGATTCAAACCCATTACCATGTGGCCAAAGGCAAGCGTGATAGCCTTTTTGCTGGCACAATTCCTTGAAGTCGGCAGTTGCAAATTAATCTCAACTCTTTCAGTCCCAAGAGATTTAGAATCAGAGGCCCAAAGGGCAGTAAAGAGAGATGTATAATTGGTGCATCTTGCGTTCAGTGAGCTTCTAGGTAGGGAACCTATGAGAGTATGATGCATTCCTTGGGACAGAAAGAGTTAATGTTGGACGGAACAATATTCAAAGTAGAACACAAGCATAATGAAAACAGATATGTCTTACTACCTATTAGAACTACTAGAGTGGAAAGTTACGGCTGTTAATCCACTGCTGAACTTTGATCTTGTTCTAGAACTTACATTTTATATGCACATATGTTTTACACATCAGACTTATTTGTGTGCAAACTGTTGGTTCATTGTCTCTCAGGCAGATGCACTCTGACTTTGAAAAAAAAAAAAAGCCTAATTAGTCATCTTTAATTACACGATTTTTTGGAGAGGTTTAGGAGGTGGGGGGGGGTATATTCATCTATCCATCCATTCCAATCACTGAAAAACCACTCATATTTATTAACTAGTGGGAATTAAATGGCATGCTAGAATCAATAATGTGGAACTTTATGTGAGAACTAAACAAGCTCCAATGAATCAAGAGGTGGCGTTAATTATGAGACATGCTCAGAAACCTAAGAACAATATAATTAGAATGTGGAACATGAAGGGGCAAAAAAAAAATAAAAGCAAACCAAAAAACACAAGGAAAAGGGAGCTAGGGAGCAAAGTTAAAAAGATGGAAAGGAGGATATGGAGTGAACTACATGAAAAAGCAAAGGATAGGATCACGGCTTGAAGGCCTAAGCTCCATTTAGCGATAAAAGGCAGAGTATGAATAGAACCCACGGGGTCAAAGGAATAAAGGCAAACCAAAAACTCATGGCGACATGAATGAGAGAATAAGGTGAAAACAGACAGGGAGGACATGGGGGTGAGCTGCAAATGATAACAAAGGATAGCTTACAGTTGGTTAAGAGCCCAATTTCTACTGAGAGATTATAGGGTAGAAGAAGAAGGCATAAGTAACTTACTCTGGCATTAACTTCCATATCAAAATTGGCTTTCTGCATCTGAAATTCTCTGGCAGAATCAGCAATTTTGGCGTCTGCTTTGTACTTGGCATCCAGTCTCAGCTTTTCACACTCTGCCTCCTGAAATATTATCATAAGGTAAAATTAAACTCAAGGAAGATAAGATTAAGCTCAGCTAAGTAACCTCATCACAGTCATCAGGAGATTTATGTATGTGTTCCACACCCATCTTTAGCAGCCAGTGAAGAATTCTAATGCTAATGGTACCTATAGAAGTTTTTTGCCTTATAGCTGTCTTGTCTGTCCTCTGAGTGCAGAGACCCAGGTTCGAATCCTCAGTAAGGCTAGGGATTTTTTGTTTCTACTGAAGGCACAAATAAAAACAGCACTAACCATGCGGCCCTAAATCCTCAAACTCAAAGACCCCTTTTTCCATACCACAAAATGGTAAACAAAGCCTGTAAAGGCAGGTTTATTTTTTATTGTATTTTTTTGGGCAAAGCCAAATTCCCTGATTACTCCCTGCTGTACCATTATCTCCACACCATAATGATCTATTTCGGTTCTACAATGCTGACCTACTCTTAAAGCTGTCACCCCTAGAAAGCGGTTTTTCAGGCTTTTATGGGGTTTTGCTGATGTGAAGTCTTTGGGCAACGGTCACTATGCACTTACAACAGCGTTGGTACTGGCTGCAACTGCATAATGTCTAGACATGGTGGGTATGACTATATATGTATCCAAACAATTTCAGATATTATCTGAGGTGGAAAAACTGCCTTTTTGGAAAATTGTAAGGTCAATAATGATACCATAATAATCTAATAATTATGTTACTTTAGGGAGCCACCGTGGTTTGGTGACTAGACTCTGGCCTGTAGATCTCAATGTCGTGAGTTTGGGACCTGACAGAGCCCGACTTTTTTTAAACATAACCTTGGTTCCCAGGTCAACTCAGCCTCAAATGGGTACCAGGTAAAGTCCTGGGAAATAATGACGGCCGGCAAGATGCTGACCAAATCACCCATGGTGATACCCTTTCCCAAAATAAGCACCCACAATCCACAGGTGGATTCCTCTGTCAACCAGACATCCATAACTGAATCACTCACCCTGATGCCTGCATCCCGGTTGGCTTCCGCCACACCAATGTCGGCATCCTTCTTGACGTTTGCAGTCTGTGCCCTGCCCAGAGACGACAGGTACTGCACGTTGTCGAAGATGTCTTTGATTGTGAAGCTGAGAATTTCAATGCCCATCTTGCCCACATCTGGTGCTGCCACCTCACGGACTAGCTGTGCAAACTGGTCACGGTCTTGGTAAATCGCCTCGACACTGAGAGTACCTGCAGAAGAGAGGGCAGAAACTCGTAAAATTTTGACAACTGTACTGACAACAGATAAGTAAATTTATGTATTGCTGTATTTTTCTTCTTTTTCGCATTCACCAGCTGTAAACTCCGGTGGAAAGTTCTTGTTTTTCGTTCACTTCTGGGCTTTAGTCTTGTTCCAGAACGTGAGTTTCGGGTGCATATCTATTTTGCAGATCCTTATTATTTTTATGCAGACTGGGTTCCTCACCTCTCAGGCTGCTGCATTCTGACTTCCAAGGAAAGGCCCCTAATTTGTCCGCTTTTAGGATCTGCTTTTTTTGGGGGGTGGGGAGGCAGTGGATTTATTCTTTTTCTTCCTCCGGGATCCATAAGGGAAGTTCGTTGTAATTATAGTATTGCCCATTTATGATCTATGCTAATGAAGGCTTACTAACCACAATATTCACTTTGTCATTTGTGATCATCGCATTGTTAAGCAGATTAGTTGTACTTCACATCTGGGTTGATATTTTTAAAGACAACTCTTTATTAACCCTTTCAACCCGGCAACACTAAAAAAAAAAATTGTTTATGACTCTTGACAAAATTCAAGAAAATAAATCCGCTAAAAAAATATAAAATAATAAAATAAAAAAAACATCAACAATAGTTACATAGGTCACTAATAAATTTGTTCAAAAGATATTTATCTGTATTTTAAAATTATTTATTGAAATATATAAAAACATGAAATGAGTAATTAATAAACACTAACAGGGTGAAGAGTTAACTGAAATGCATCCCGGAGGCTTAAAAACAAACACGGATTGGGTGACATTCTGTGACCCTGTGACCTCTATCACTGAGGTTTATGAGAAAATCTGATGTCAATTTAGCTACGAAATAAGAGCAATCTTACTTGGGGGGGGGGGGGGGGGGGGGGGTGGGGGGGGGGGGGGGGGGGGGGGGGAGGGGGAGGGGGGGGGGGGGGGGGGGGGGGGAAAAGAGAGCGGGGGGGGGGTGGGGTGGGGGGGGGGGGGGGGGGGGGGGGGGGGGGGGGGGGGGGGGGGGGGGGGGGGGGGGGGGGGGGGGGGGGGGGGGGGGGGGGGGGGGGGGGGGGGACTTAATTGGAACTGTTCGTTAATGCATTAATATCCTGACTTCTAACATTCGCACAGGCATGAACTCAGCAAACAGCATTAACTATGTATCCCGTAAACAGGCCAGAATAGACAAGTCTAGGGCTCTGAATCCTGGACAATTAATAAGCAAGCGAACAAGATTTTGAGGCCTTAGAGATGTGGTTTTATAGAAGAATCCTTAGAATTCCTTGCACAGCTAAGAAGAGCAGCAAAGATGTTTTGAAAGAGGTGGGTGCTCGAAGACACAAACATCAGAAAGAGACAGTCATCATTTTTTGGTCATGTTATGAGAAAAGGGAAACTGGAACCTGCTGTGACCACTGGAAAGATCTGTGGAAAGAGAGACAGAGGAGGACAGCATGAGACGAGCCTTGACAGCCTTTTGTCAGGGCATATAAGAGTGTCAGCACTCAAATTAATACACAGTTGCGGAGGCATGATTGCCCAAGCCAGTCGGTAAGGCACTTGATGATGATGATAATGACAGACAAGTCAGAAAAGATACAGTTATGGGGAACTGGACTCTAAGTCAGAAGTGTCGATTTTCTGGCTTTTTGAGGCAAAAGTGGTTAAATATTTGCTTTTGATTTTTAGCACTATTTGAGATACAGCTTAGTTTTTATTAGTGAGAAGCTGAAATGATCCCTTAAATGTTGACAAACTCAGTCTCAGTTAACACTTTAGACATTGTGTTTCTTCTTCTTCTGCATTCATCTTTTAGCATGCTGTGCTGTGGTTTACAGTCAGGCTGTGATATCCGTTCTTTTTAGCCTAACACATCTTGACTTCAGAAAATACTCAGTCAACTTTTACGACAGGTTTGTTAAGTGGCAGTAGGGCGAGTTGTTTTCCGCCTAACAGAACCGACACAGGGAAGACAATTAAATATTGTAGTTTCTATGTGCATTTATAACCAACTCTTTCCTCCCCCACACCCTTTTCAGAGATAGTGTCTGTGAATGCATGTAGTTTTTTTAAAGCTGAATAAAAAAGAGAAAAGTGGGAGGGGTGGGGGAGGGTTATCTGTATAAACATTTTAGAGCACAATACAAACTATGCAGACAAGTGTTAAAGCATAAAGTGTCAATTAGCTGTTTTAACTACCATTAAGAAATAACAAGCAGCATAAGTAATAAATGTAGCAAATAAAACAAAGCAATATTAAACCCCCAGGTCTGGAAATATTAGAATTAACACAATCTATCTGTAAATGCATAAAAGTAGCAGATCTTGGGATATCTGGATACAGGCAAGTGTATTTACAAGAGTTAGAAATTTAAAAGGCTAAAACAACATAGTGGTTTAAATCCTGAATTGTTCATGAATTATTCTTTTATTTGGAGGGGTGGGGAAGAAGGTATGTTTCTATATATTTTATAACAATTACACTTTCGCAAGCTATCTCTTTGTCAGAATATAAAAGATTATGAAACAAAAAATGTTTTTTAAAAAATAAATAAGTAATTTGTAAAAAGTTTTTTTGTTATAAGAAGCAAATAATCGAAAAAAAAAATTTCAACTGCAAGGAAATATAAATTGTTAGCACAAAAAGAAACTGGGCCACAGCTGGACAGATACTAGACAGGTTGACATTACTTCTTCTTCTTTGCGTTCACCGGCTTCAAACTCCAGGATATCTGGTTGTTAATCCACTTCTGGACTTTGGTCTTGTTCGAGAACTTAAGTTTTGCATGCAAATCCACTGATATATTTGATATTTGGCTTAATTGTATGCAGACTGTTGGTTCCTTGCCTCTCAGGTGGTGGTATTCTGATTTTGAATGAAACACCTATGATTAGATGCCTCCTAAGAAATGTTTTATTTTAATTTTAAAAAGAGTGTGGGGGTGGGAAGGGAGCCTGTCTCCCCCCCCCCCCCCCCCCGAATTGGGGCACCAGAACCCACGAGGGTAGTTGACATAACAGCATGGACAATATCAACGACTAACCCACGAGGGTAGTTGACATAACAGCATGGACAATATCAACGACTAACCCACGAGGGTAGTTGACATAACAGCATGGACAATATCAACGACTAACCCACGAGGGTAGTTGACATAACAGCATGGACAATATCAACGACTAACCCACGAGGGTAGTTTGACATAACAGCATGGACAATATCAACGACTAACCCACGAGGGTAGTTGACATAACAGCATGGACAATATCACACGACGACTAACCCACGAGGGTAGTTGACATAACAGCATGGACAATATCAACGACTAACCCACGAGGGTAGTTGACATAACAGCATGGACAATATCAACGACTAACCCACGAGGGTAGTTGACATAACAGCATGGACAATATCAACGACTAACCCACGAGGGTAGTTGACATAACAGCATGGACAATATCAACGACTAACCCACGAGGGTAGTTGACATAACAGCATGGACAATATCAACGACTAACCCACGAGGGTAGTTGACATAACAGCATGGACAATATCAACGACTAACCCACGAGGGTAGTTGACATAACAGCATGGACAATATCAACGACTAACCCACGAGGGTAGTTGACATAACAGCATGGACAATATCAACGACTAACCCACGAGGGTAGTTGACATAACAGCATGGACAATATCAACGACTAACCCACGAGGGTAGTTGACATAACAGCATGGACAATATCAACGACTAACCCACGAGGGTAGTTGACATAACAGCATGGACAATATCAACGACTAACCCACGAGGGTAGTTGACATAACAGCATGGACAATATCAACGACTAACCCACGAGGGTAGTTGACATAACAGCATGGACAATATCAACGACTAACCCACGAGGGTAGTTGACATAACAGCATGGACAATATCAACGACTAACCCACGAGGGTAGTTGACATAACAGCATGGACAATATCAACGACTAGACTGTAAAATAAATCTAGGTATTCTTGAGAAGCGGCTGATCAAATGGTTAAGAACCCTGAGCTCTCATGCATGAGACCCGGTTTCCAATACTCAGCAAGTTGGGGGATTTCTTTCAGTTAGGGGGGCATTATTTAAAAAACCTAACCTGCACAGTCCATGGCGACAGCACTAGCCATGCGGCCCTAAATGCTCAGATTCAAAGACAACCGTGCGTACACCACAAAAAGTGGTCCATACCGACAGTAATGGCAAAATAGTCTTGATATGAAAGGATATAGGATGCTAGCTATTTGACCAATTGGCACTGGTTAAGAGATGTGGTCAATACCTTTACTTCCCAGAAAACTTCCTTGTATTTATTTTAGGCTGAATCGCCTATGAAACCTTTGGGTTTTTTTTTTATGTAACTGTTTCAAGTAACTTCCTTTCTAAACTGCACCATAATATTCTTCTTCCCAAGCTTTCCCCATTAACTCTCTTAGTCTGAAGCAGTTAATCTTTTACTGACCATCGCATAACCTATGTATTTTAGGGTAATAAATCATGTTTGCATCCTAACGAGTTAAAATAATCTACCAGCTGAACCAAAGGTGTCTAAGTACATTTGAGGTAGAAAAGATTCGCCTTACAGAAGAAAGGAGCAAATGAAATTTACAACTGCATGTCTCAAGATTGGCACCTTTCCGTCTTTCCAGACAACAGTGTTATACTGTACTATGAGGAGGCATGGGACTCACAGCACATGGCGATGGCGAGCGTGAATACAGGATAATTGTCAACATTTGTATTCAGTCTGTTTCTTCTTAGATGCTCAATCATTTCTTCCTTCATTCGCATTCCCTTCCTGATGTGCATGTTTCTCATGGTTCACAGCATTTTGTTTCCACAAGTCCACACCTCAATACCTGTATCATTCATGTCCCACTTTCACACATATCTGTATATCATAGTAGAGGTCGACCTCGACATCTTCTAGCCGTCTTTATTTAACCATTGAAGATGTCCTTATGGACTCTGTCGTCCTCCATTCTCCAGTTGTTACCCTCAGCTTTCATACACAGCACACAATAACCACAGTATGTATCCTCGTAATGAAAGAGTTAAAAAGCGCAACAGCCACAGTGTGTTGTGGTTTACAGCTGGACTGCAATATCCTCACCTGTCCGGCATCATAACTGATTTCAGGAAACTCCTAAATAGTAGCATTTTATGACATGCTTGTTAGAGGCCAGTAGGGCTATCCCCCTTTTCTTCCCAACGATATTTTGAGGATGTGGCATTAGGCCACATATTTAACTAAAGGTATCAAGGTTAAAGTCGAGAGTATCAACTTCACTGCACTAGGTTTTATTAAATATGGCTCGGTCTCTCTCTGCAGAATGGATAGCCCTCCAAAAGTGTCATACAAAGCATGCAAATCGAAGCTCCGATAATGACCCCAGGGGTCAAAATCGTGACCTAAACGATGCTCCTGTGATATGAACCCACGATCTTTAGAGCACAAGCCTCTTGACAACTTCGCCAAAGGGATTCCCGCTGGTTAAGACTTATAATTTATGAGGTAAGGCTGGACCCAGAATCCAATGGGATCAGCAACCTGCCACTATTATCATTGTCCAAGATGCCCTTTGTTCTAAGCCAGTGGACTAACAACCAACTGGTAACAGCTCCAACTCTGGCAAAAACAAGCATTCTTATTCTGTGCATTACAGTCTGTTCCAGAAGTTGTGCATAACTTTAAAAATCGTTAACTCAGGAACTGTTTGGTGTAAGTTCTTGAAATTTGGCATGCAACCTGATAATAATCATGTCCTTGTAATAAATATTTGGTTTTTTTTTAATTGCAAACATCTAGTTTTTATTTTGTGGTAAATTAAAGAAACAGACACCAACTCAAAGAAAACAATTAGCATGCTTGAAGTTGACTGAGTTACGGAAATTTTTCAAAACATCAAACTGCACGCATTTCATAGGCATTTACAATTCATGTGTCCATCTCCGGCGCATTTCTCACTGTATGCTGGATAGGCTATTAAAAATAATTACCATGCATCGCTGCACATGTGAATTGATTTCCAAACAATCTCCACATATGTGTCAATATTTTCAAGGCTTACACAAATTATTAGTCAAAGATTACAGAAATTTGCCACTTTAAGAAAACAGCAGCACCTGTGCAATTATAAATTATAAAATCATAAATATACGGGAAATCTAAGGCCACACACACAATTCTGTATTGATCTGTACAGGAGATTTAGAGTCAGGGGGCTTATACAAAAAAAAAAAAAAATACCACTATCACCATTACAACCCCAAATCCCTATGTTTGTAAGCCAATGGACTAACAAATATGCCACCATAGCTCCAAATTTTGCAAAAATAAGCAAGGTTATGGAGTCAATTCTGCTGCCTGCTCCCGAACTAACTACTAACTTGAAGGAACAAAACATACCTAAGCTGCGGTGCACTTATAACTAACAGCAGTCAGACGTGTCGGTGATTGCCACCATTACAGAACTGTTGCCAAACTTATTACCAAGGATAGCTCTGAGATGACCCTCAAGGGTCTGGAGAACTACGTGCTCAACGTGCTGGGGTGACTTTCCTAGAAACTGCTCGCAGGCCTTCTTCAGTATGTCAGGGGACCGCATGATCTTGCACTGGGCTACCCCGGTCACTGTAACTGGTACACCTTCTGAGGTCTCCACACTTTCACACTGTGGGTTTAGGGTCATAACCTCCAGGGAGATCCTATAGAAGGAGAAAAAAAAAGATATTAGAAGCAACACTTTATAACTTTAAATCTTCTTCTTTTTCTTTGTTCACTGGCGGAAAGCCCTGGTTGTTTGCCCAACTGGACTTTGACTTTGTGCCAGGGCCTGAGTTTTGCATGTACATCCGCTTTACTGGCCTATATTTGTGTGCAGCTGGTTGCTTCTTGCCACTCAGGCTGAGGCACTCTGACTTTGAAGGGAGCTGCCAATTAGTCGACTCCTATGACATGCTTGTTGGGGAGACAGTGGGTCTATTCTTGTTTCCCCCACAAGACGGCCCCAGAACCTACAGGGAGAATAACGTTAAATCAATAACAATGTTTAAAAAAAACTAGAGACAAAAGTAATTAAAGAAACAGATTAATTTCTTTTTTAGATAGTGATTTTGATAATGAACGAAAAACAAAGAAAGAAAATATGACACGCACTGGCTGGGTATCGGCAGCTTTTGAAAGCCTGAACACAACATGGAACTCAAAATACTAAAGTTTTAAAACCAAGTTATGCATTTTTAATTCTAATGTTATTTCAGTTTTATCATATGCCAGTGACAATTGGAAAACCACTAAAGACAAGGAAAGAAAGTTAAATGCATTTGGAAATAAAAGCCTGGGGAAAATGTTCAACATAAAATGGGATGAAGAGGGGTGTAGAAATAGGAGAAATGTCTGGGCAACCACTAGTATCACCAGTTATAGGACTGTAAAAATGGCACTATATTGGACAAATCCTGAGAAGAAGACAGCAGAGAATCACTCACATGGGAAATAAATGAATTAAGGAGGTGAGGACGCCCAAAAGAAAACCTAAAGTTAATGCTCATGACAGAGGCCAAGGGTGGGTACTTGACTTCTTCTTCTTCTTCGTGTTCACCAGCTGTAAACTTTGGTGGAAAGTTCTGCTTGTTCATCCACTTCTGGACTCCAGTCCACGGACTGAACTCCATACATGATACTGAACTGACTGCACCGGATAAAATTGATTGGAAGAATAAACTGTGAGTCCTATGTGACATATAAGGGCACAACAGGCACAATAAATGAATGTTTAGAAAATGAAGACAAAACACAAATGTAAACTGCAAGATGTATTAAAAAGCAAGATATATAAGATAAGATTAGTATAAAATACCTGAGGTGTGCACAGGTGTCTTCTTTTTCTTCACGTTCACAGGGATTTTTAAAAAAACCATGGCGGTGGAAAGTTCTGGCTGTTCATCCACTTCTAGACTTTAGTCTTGTTCCAGAACCAGAATGTTGTGTGCACATCCATTTTATAGATATGGCTAATGTGTATGCAGACTGCTGGTTCCTTGCTTCTCAGGCAGTTGCACTCAGACTTTGACGGAATCCCCTAATTAATCGACTCTTAAGGCATGCTTGTTAGGGAGGGAGTGGGTCTAATATTTTTCTCCTCCCACAATGGGGTCCCGGAACCCACAAGGGGAGCACATATATATCAGTTTTTAAGATATAATTTTCAAGATCTGTAAGCAGGCTGTAAGAATTTTTTCTTTTAACACATTTCTGTAACGCTCCCCTCCTTCTTTTTATCTGTGCATTAAATATACACACAAGCATACACACACACAATTTTTTTTGTTTTTCTGTCTCTCTCTCGTGCCTCTTCCATCTCTCTCTCTGTCACTTTCATTGTTGTCTGCCCACTTTATCTTTTTCTCTGAAAATCTTTATCTATCCTCAACACTCTGTCCCTTTCATGCCTTCTCCATATATCTTCCTTTGTGAGTCTCTTCAAATCTCTCTCTCTCTCTCCATCTTGTCTGCTTAATTTCTTTTTTTTTCTTTCTCTGAAAAACTTTATACTTCTCTCTCTCTGGCTCCTCTAATTCCCCCCCCCCCCCTCCCCCTTGCCCAATCTGTCTATCCCCACTACCTTTCTCTCTCCTTAAATACAATAGAAATACTTACTTCTGAGTGTCTGTCACAAGCCACCAAGCCCAGCCCCATCCTCCAATGATATACTTTCTTGCTTCTGCGCCACAGCAGCCACCTGGTGATGACATTCACAATACAGCATTCTTCATACACAAATTATCATCAGCTAAAAACATCACAAAATATAACATCACAGCCACACAAAAAACATCATACTAACACAACTTTATCACAATACAGCATTCTTCATACACAAATTATCATCAGCTAAAAACATCACAAAATATAACATCACAGCAAAAAAAAACATCATATTAACACAACTTTATCACAATACAGCATTCTTCATACACAAATTATCATCAGCTAAAAACATCACAAAATATAACATCACAGCAAAAAAAAAACATCATACTAACACAACTTTATCACAATACAAAGACAATATCATATCACAAATATATCACAGTTCAAATATCATATAACAAATATCATATCACAATACCCAGGTGTGGGTTTTGGGACACTTTTATAGGGAAGAAAAAGAATAGTCCCACTGCCTACCCAAAAGCATGTTGTAAAAGTCGACTAATTGGGAGCTTTCTTCAAAGTCAGAGTGCATCTGCCTGACAGACAAGGAACCAACAGTCTGCACACAAATGTGTCAGAGTGCATCTGCCTGAGAGGCAAGGAACCAACAGTCTACACACAAATGTGTCAGATCTGTCAAACAGATGCACAAGCAACACTCAGGTTCTGGAACAGGACTGCAGTCCAAAAGTGGATGAACAACCAGAACATTCCACTAGAGTTTACAGCTGGTGAACGCAAAGAAGAAGGTATCACAAGACACATATCAAATCACAATACAAATATCACAATACAAATATCACAAGAACACATAATAAATATAATATCTTCTTCTGCTTCTGCATTCAGATGAAGATGCAACTATGTTGTGCCTGTTTACAGCATGGCTGCGATATTTGCACCTTTCAACCAACACATCCGGTTTCAGCGGGCCTTTGTTGACCAGGTATTATCATTTAATAAAATATTACAATATCACACTACAAATATCACATCACACCAAAAAACAAAAACAAAAAACAAACAAAAAACTTTATTAGAAATATATCAACATCATATCACACAATATCACAAAAACACATCACAAAATATTAACGTAGTAGTATTTGTAGTGCAGCAGTAAATGTAATCATTGTAGTAGTAGTAGTAGTAGTAGTAGTAGTAGTAGTAGTAGTAGTAGTAGTAGTAGTAGTAGTAGTAGTAGTAGTAGTAGTAGTAGTAGTAGTAGTAGTAGTAGTAGTAGTAGTAGTAGTAGTAGTAGTAGTAGTAGTAGTAGTAGTAGTAGTAGAAGCAGTAGTACAGTAGTAATAGTAGTAGTTGTTGTAGCAGCAGTAGTAGTACAGTAGTAAGAGTAGTAGTAGTGCAGCAAATGCAGCAGTAATTGTAACTGTGTTAGTGCTAGTACTAGTAGTAGTAGAAGTAGTACTAGTAGCAGCAGAATTCAGTTTTGCAGCAGAAGCAGCAGCAGCAGTAGTAGTGCAGCAGATGTAGCAGTGATTGCACGCATCTTTGTAGTAGTAGTAGTAGTAGTAGTAGTAGTAGTAGTAGTAGTAGTAGTAGTAGTAGTAGTAGTAGTAGTAGTAGTAGTAGTAGTAGTAGGAGTTGTTGTAGCAGCATCAGTAGTAGTGCAGCAAGCACAGCAGTAATTGTAATAGTAGTAGTAGTTGTTGTTGTTGTAGCAGCATCAGTAGTAGTGCAGCAAGCACAGCAGTAATTGTAATAGTAGTAGTAGTAGTAGTAGTAGTAGTGGTGGTAGTAGTAGTAGTAGTAGTAGTAGTAGTAGTAGTAGTAGTAGTAGTAGTAGTAGTTGTAGAAGTAGTAGTAATAGTATTAGCAGTCAGTCAGTAGTAGTGGTATTAGTGGTAGTAGTAGTTAGCAGTAGTAGTGGTGGTAGCTGTAGCAGCAGTAGCAGTTAGTGCTAGTACCAGTAGTAACAGTAGTAGTAGAAGTAGTACTAGTAGCGGCAGTAGTTAGTATTGCAGCAGAAGAAGCAGTAATTGTAATCATCATAGCAGTAGTAATAGTAAAATAGTAAGAGTTAGGAGTAGTATTAGTAGTGTTAGCAGAGCTAGCAGTAGTAACTAATTAGTGGTGATTGTACCAGGCAGTGCAGCAGTTATGTTATAGTTATTGTAATAATCTTGTGCACCATTCATAAAGTTACTGTAGGCAGATCATTATTATTGTGCAATGACAGGCAAAGACTGCAACTGTCGTGACTATGACCCACACTCATGGTGTTTTCAATGTCTGTATCTGTACTCAGCCGCTGGTTCCGTTTTGTAGATAAGTAGATGCCCATATTGTTTTAAGCTAAGCAGTAAAAATAATAAGTAAGTCAATTTGCTTCCTCGTCTTCTTTTAAAACTACCACTGTTTTGTTACTGCCTCTAAAAACGTAACCGTTCTAGCCACAATATCTCAAAGGGGAGAAAGACTAACACACTAAACTGGACAATAAAATAAATCATTACTTATTAATTAATATTTTCTAGCCTGCAGCAGCAGCAGGGTACTTTCTAACGGGCTCCATGTTGTAGCTTTTCAGACAATTTCTACCCTAAAACGCATTAGTTACGGCGAATTACTGAGCTCAAGAGATTCGTGTGCAAGTACCTGAAATAACCAAGGCTTCATTAGGACCTGTCGTGTGTATATTTCCCATTTTGAAACAGAAACTTGTTCGCTGTCGGCTGTCGCAATCTGCAAAATTGCAACAGTTTATAAACAACCTCGTCAATCCCACCTTCTTCGCGTTAGGCGAGAGTTGGGAAATTGTTTATCTTCAAATGTTTTTTTTTTTTTTTTAGATATTTATTGTAATGTGATTGCAGTTTTACTGTTTATGAAAAATAATTATGTAGATGTTCGTTTTTTTTTTTTTAAATATATATTTTAATATGTATATAGGCAAAAATATTTTGAGGCTGAATAGGAGCAACATGCCAAGTTGGATTTGACATGAAAGTGTATTTATTGACATTAATGTAATCAACGGTGTTATGTTCATCATAGGCTGTGGAACTTGAGTGCTCACGTTCCGAACCCATAAACACATTTAATTTTTTTTTTTTTTTTTTTTTGGTATTATTCTCAGATCTTTGCCATCAATGTTTACGATTGCCAAAATTCTAATCATTTTTTCATATTTCACTTTTTCAGATGCTTTAGTGTAATTAATAATGCACAAATACATATCTCTATTCACGTCAATCACTAAACTTATTAAATGTCCGGTTATTGTATTATTTTAACTGAGTCAAATTCAGTGAATAATTTTTAGTTATGCCAAGTCAAGAAAGGAAATCATAGAAATCGGGACATTCTCATAAGCGCTTCGTCCTCATCTTCATCAGCAATGGCAAACCGTATGCCCCACCTTTCCGTTGAGGGTTGAGGGTCGGCCAAATCATGGCTGTCTCAAGTTACTTCATTCAAGGAGATAATATCCAAATGACACTTAACTACCCGGGATCTCTGTAGCGATGCTTGCCACTCTGCACGGAGTCTTTAGCTTTCTCAACATGCTCTGTGAATCAGTTATAATCATGACATGTCTGTGCAGCTAGTTCCTAAGCCAGAGGGAGGCTGCAGTCACTGCCTCTACCTCCATTCTCAAAAAAAGATGTGACAGTATCACATCCGAGACTTTGCTGCACTAAGAACCATTTATTCGCCTTTGCCATGAACTCCATGTACTTTTTCTGCCTCTCGATACAGAGCCATGTGTATAGATATAGATAATCACATTTACAATTAGATTTGGTAATTAAATATTTTGTATACATTAGGTATCAACTGTATCAGATTGTGAGATTATTTAGTTTAGTGTATTTTAATGTTACATAGCATGCTGCCGACGTCCTGAGAAAGTAAAAACCACATTACCCACCTAGTGCCGTTTTGGTCAGTAGAATATGAATGCTCTTCCTATATGCCCGATGCGCCTAAAGGCTTGAAAGTCCGTGTAAAAATTTATAAATTGTTTTGCGCACACACTTGTACCACAAATACTCACACACGGCAACATTTGTATAGAACACTGAACAAAATACGCACACCGCAGACGTCTGTATATTAAATACGTACATCACAGAAACCACGCAATCTTGTACAACAGACCCACTTTAACATTCAATAAAATTGATTTAAAATTTAAAAAATAAATAAATAAATAAAGGCTTGAAAAGGGATCTTTACTTACTGTTTTATATAACATACTAGATTTAATTGCCCGTGATCGTGAAAGAAAATTTCATTCTCCCGTCCTCTACCTCATCTTTGTTGCGGTGATGTACTGTTTAATTCTTCCATTTAAATATCTAGAATCACCTATCCCCTGCATGTTATTTTTATTGTCATCAGCTTATTACAGCGGACACACACACACTGTAACATAAAATAAAGTTGCAACTACCTGTTTGTAGTAGTAGTAGTAGTAGTAGTAGTAGTAGTAGTAGTAGTAGTAGTAGTAGTAGTAGTAGTAGTAGTAGTAGTAGTAGTAGTAGTAGTAGTAGTAGTAGTAGTAGTAATGTTCATCTAAACAATATTCTCTTAAACCCCCAGCCATATATTTTCACGTCTGCTTTATTTGTGTAATTGTTACTATAGTAAGCACCTGACGGGGCACAGCTTAACTTGCCAGGCAATAAATTGTGCAATCTATTGTCTGTGTTTTCTTTGTTTAAATTTATAACGCTGAAACATTGCTTTGATTATATTTGGGATACACACTTTTGTTACGATTCCTTTACAGAGATGCGGTTCTATAGAAGAATCCTTAGAATTCCTTGGACAGCTAGGAAAAGCGACCCAGATGTTTTGAAATAGGCGAGTGCTCGAAGACAGCTTAACACAAACATGAGAAAGAGACAGTCATCAGTGTGTTATCATGTTATGAGAAGAGGGAAACTGGAACATGTTGTGACCACCGGCAAGATTTGTGGAAAGATTTTTGAAAAACGTCCAGCTCCGTCAGGACCCGAACCCACGACCTTCCAACCAGCAGGCGAGCTTTTAGCCACTACACCACGGTAACTGGTAGAGCAATCGAAATGATTTGTTCCAATAATTTTTGTAATTTCTTCGTTTCTTCCAAGATCTCGTGTAGCTTTGTTCACGACCTTTTTCAAACACTGATAGCGCAAGGATGGTATGAAAAACAAACGATTTAATAATTTGTCTTTATATATATATTGGGATAGCATGGTGTTTAAAAATTGGGTTCAGTTGATAGGATACACGACATTGCCAGCTTCTTGTTGTAGTCTCTCTATCTATTCTACCACCAATGTATAAAGATGCTTCCCAAATATTAAAGTGTTGAACTTGTTTTTTACTTTGATCTTTTAAATTGATGTCGAATTGCTACGCACATTACGTCTTTTTTTTTTTTTTCAATGTTTATTTTAATATTATATTTGAAATAGCTGTCATGTGCTTGGTCATGTAGCTGATTTAATTTGATATCAGGAAAGCCACTAAAACCGGCACAAGAAGATTACCATTTTATTGACAGACCAGAGCAAGTCATTATTCTACGCCTTAGAACAGGACACAGTCGACTTCGCAGCCACATGTACACTAAATTTAAAATCCGCGAATCAGCCATTTGCACATGTGGATTGGCACCTGAGACAACAGATCAGGTCCTCCAAGACTTGTCCCAAATACAACATATCAAGGCGAAACTTTTGGCCAAGAGAAACATCGGTGCAATGCAAACTTTACGGGTCGCTGAGTGAATTACATAAGACAGTGAAGTTCATACTAGAGACAGCATTGCAGATATAGATAATTTATTTCAAGCGAACGAAAGAAGAAGAAGAAGATATCAAGGAAGTAAGATGTAAAAATTACTTCGCATTTGAGTTATTCATTTTAAAAATATACACGTTTTAAAAAAGTTACATCTCCTCCGACACTTCACAGGTACAAGTACAAGAGAAGAAAAATAAGAAAATGTGTAAACTATCTTTCGCAATTGAGTAAATTTTGGCCTCACTTGTGAAGAAATAGTGAGAGTTGTGGCCAACATGGAGTTGTGTGGACAAGGATCGGCTTGTAGCGGTTCACTGTGAGCTCAGTTAACTAACTCCTGCTTCATTTGTAGGGCGTTACCCACAGCGTAATCGGTTTTAAATCAAAGGTAATAATGTTCTAGATCAGTTCAATAAGTAATCTAACATGGAAGTTTTTTTGTGTGAATCGTTTAACCTCCAGAGTAAATTCGTTTTTTTTTAAAGGGATTTTTTCCAGTTTAATTTTCAGTATATTTTAGTTAGGTTTAGTGTGTTCTTAAGTTTTATGCCGGGCGTGTTTCAGATTCAAATAAAAGTAAATATACATGTTTGACAATTAAATAAATACATTACAAATAATGAATAGTATTTATTTATTGTCTAAGTATATAAAATATTTTATAATAATATAATACATACTCTAACCTTAAAATAATGAAATTTTTTTTTAAAGCTGCTAAAGGTCCGCAGATCCTGAACTGATTAACTCACTTCGGAAAAAAACACACAATACTTCAGATGTGAAACTAAGAGAGAGACTGAGACGTGTTCACTGTACAGTCACCGTACACAGATTGCCTGTTTCAGTCTGAGCGTCTGTGACTCTGTAGTTGTAGGACATTACGCTATTACTATTAGTATTAGGCTATTCTCTGAATAACGGGCACATATTATGGCGGCCGCTATAACACCCTAACAGGGCAGCTTCTGCAGCTTTGTTCGTGAGTCTCCACCATCTAGTTTAGCCCCAATCTACGCCGTGTGAGCGGCGTTGGGGATACTCTCGACGCTGGCGGTAGTCCCCGGAATACGCAAATTAGGTCGCAGGAAGTGCGCAATTGACACGTGACTGTGGCCCTGTTTTTGGCCGCCATAATATGTGCCCTTTATTCGGAGGATAGCCCGCTATTATTATACATAGTTGTGTAGTATTGGCAGTTTTCTTTCTGGTCTGTAGTAACACACCTGACAATATACTCAGATACACTGATACCGCTAAATATATACATATATATTTCAGTGGTCCCCTTGTGGGGGTGGGGGGGACAAAAATAGACCCACTGCCTGCCCAAAAGCATGTCCTAAGAGTCGACTAAGGAAAGGAATCATTAGTCTTCATACAAATGAGTCAGACCTGTAAAATGGGTGTGCACACAACACTCAATTTCTGGAAAAGGACTAGAGTCCAAAAGTGGTCGAACAACCAGAAATTTCCGCTGGAGTTTACAGCCTGTGAACGTGAAGAAGAAGATTTCACTGGCATTTTTTCAGTTTTTATGTCTCTTTATATGCTAATATAACTCTTTTATTATTATTAACACACATGACGAGATACAACGAAGTATGCCTGGCATTAAATAATTATTATAATTTAAAAATGGGCACTCATCCAAATGCTGGTCCCAAATTAATCACTGTTTTAAAAAATCCCATTAAGGACCTCAAGAGGTCATATAGTTACAAATATGGAATAGGTACATTACGAACTAGCTTCGCGTTATTATACAATTTCATTTGAACCAAACTCTCGAGTCTTCGGTAGTACAGTCACGTGGGTGACCATTCTTCGAATCCCCACTGGGTGATAATTTATTTTAGCCCTTATAAGGGCGGTTGGGATGTTGTGTTGAGGCTTACAGCTAGGCTGCCATATCTGCGCCTTTTGCCCCAACACATCTGATTTCAGCGAAGTCCTAAATTGTTGCCTTTTATAACATGCCTATTAGGTGGCAGTGAAGCTGTCATTTTTTTCCCCACAAACATGTGGCCCTGGAACCCACAAGATGCATCATGAGTAATGTGAACAATAGATAAAAAAATATTCCTCACCACAACGCTTTAATGGATCGAAAACTACTCCTCCCAACGCCGCTTAAACAGTAGATCAAAATCTATTCCTCCCCACGGCGCTTCAATGGTACGAAAACTATTCCTCCCCACAGCGCTTAGCTTAACGTGTAATCATTGTTATCCATCGAGCAATAACGGCAGAAATGGAAACTGATGATGATGGCCTAAATGTTTTTACTGCATAAGCACTTTAGGCTCTCACAGGAATTTTTTTGGCAGAAAAAAATTTGGGACCGGTATTTGAAAAAGTGCCAAAAATGTATTTACTTAAATCAGTGGCTTTGCATCTGTAAATTGTGTTTGATAAATTATTTGTTGCTGCTGTTAGGTACTTTAGTTAAATTTTATAAACAGTTATTTGAAAAAAAAGAAAAAAAAAACCCAGCAAATATCTGACATTAATTTGGAAAATGAAATCCAATGGGCTGCATTCAAACCTCTACGTCAGTTATAAGCGAGTTATTAATTTTTACAGTAACTTATTCAAATAATAGAAGAATAGAGGAACATACCCTTTTAGCACTTTCAGAATATGTTTCAACACTGTAATTACAGTAACTGTTTTGTTTCTGGACATTATCTTGAAACTTTATGATTAAATTGTTGTTTTGTTTGCAGAAGGTTAATACTATTGAACTACAATCATGGGTGACATGAGTGATCTTGATAGGTAAATATATATTTCATTATATGGAAATGTCGTCATTTATGGTTGAATTATTCAGTTATGTATTTGAGTATTGTCATTTAATCTTCATACTAAGGGATTCCCAGTGCACATCATTTATAATTTAGTAAAATAATCATATACTTTTTTTCTACTGCTTTTACTTTTATAGTTTTATATTTATTCATAAAGTTATAGAGTAAGTTATAGAATAGAGTAAGTCATAGAGTAGTTATTATTGTTAAAAACAAAGGCAAACCAATAAATAAAAACATAATACAAGTATATTGCCCAGCATCAGCAGTAAAAAGGAAATATAAAATTTTTTTTAACGAATATTAAGATTTGGCAATAGCCCGAACAAAATAACAAGAAATTGAAATAATGTTTGGAGATTTTAATGCAAAAGTTGGGAAAGAGAGAACGGAAGATATAGTTGGGGAGTATGGTTTAGGATCAAGAATCGAAAGAGGTGTAACATAAACAAAGAATTAAACAAAGATATTCTAAGAGAGGATAAAGAATTTAAGGAGCGATATAGAATAATTGTGAGGAACAGGTACAATGCAATACCAAAAATACAAACTATAAACGATCAGTGGGAAATGCTGAAAGACTCCATCCACCAAAAGCAAAGAGATTTTAACAGAAAGAAGACAAATAGCTTAACAGAAATGGATGACTGAATAAATTTTAAAGTTAATGGTTAACAAAAAACAATGTATGAATGACAAAAAAGAATATAACAAAATAAATAAAGAAATACAGCATAAGTGTATGAAGGCAAAAGAAGAGTGGCCCAATGAAAAATGCAATAAAATTTAACTTAGTCCTATTACAAATGCAAAAAGTGTGCACAAACAAATTAACGATCTAACTGTAAGAAAGATACGAGTAAACACAGGATGTAAAGGTTATGAACACATGCTATCGAAATGGCTTTAAAAAAAAAACTTTTTTTTCATAAGAAAACCACCTTAAATATATTATTATCATCCTGGCCTCCTAAATGCTGTGCAGGTGCAAACATAGCCAAAGGCAGTAACTAAGCTACGGGGGATTGGATCAACAGGCAGTCTTGGTGTTATGGCTTATCAGGGTTAAGTCTGCTCACTTACAGATCTGTCCACTTATACTGATGTAAACGCTAACTCACTAGCTGCATTTCCCCCCACAAGCAGCTCATGTGTTGTCCATCCTTCAATGCTCTTGTTGTCTATCATTGTGTCTGTATATATTTTTGTATGTCAGTCTCCCCGTGTAGGTTCTGGGAGAAAACCGAGTAGACACACTGCTTCCCCAGCAAGCATGTGTAGACACACTGCTTCCCCAGCAAGCATGTGTAGACACACTGCTTCCCCAGCAAGCATGTCATAGGAGTTGACTAATTGGAGGCATTCTTTGAAGTTGGAGCACTTCTCCCTGAGAGGCAAGGAACCAACAGTCTGAATGCAAAAAAGCCAGATCTATGAAATGGATGTGCACGCAACGCTCAGACTCTAGAACAAAACCAAAATCCAGATGAGGACAAACATCCAGAACTTATCTGCTGGTGTTTACAGCCTGTAAAAGTGAAAAAGAAGAAGGAACTATCTGTCTGTGTATGTATCATGTATGTATATAGTATGTATGTGTATGCATGCACAACCCTACCATAATGTGTATATACATTGTGCTCATTGTTTATAGTAGGCTATCATTCAGTTTACTGCCACATAAGCGTGTACATAATAGCTGTTTAAGGACCCATTTTCATGGCTTCAGGTGTATTGAGCATATAGGGTTAAACCTGTATTCTATAGACCAGTCAGCTCTTGGTGGGTAATGAGGCCAACATCAGACTGGCCACCTTTACTTCCCAGGACTTTACCTGGTATGAATATAAGGCTGGGTCGGCCTGAGAGCCAGGGATCATCTCTTGAAAAAGTCTGGCTCCAAATTCAAAACCTTTTTATCTGCAGGCATGCATCTAGCTACTACATTGTGGTGGCTGCCATACGTATTACTGACTGCATAATTAATGTCTTCCCTGTGTGAGTTCTGGGGTCCTTTTTTGGGAAGGAAAAGAAACAGATCCCCCCCCCCCCCCCCCCCTCCTTTTTCCCTCAACAAGCATGTCATAAAGTGATAAATTATTAGTTTTCTTCTGCAATTGGATAACTTTAGTCGAACTTTGCAGATATCGCCGCCTTGCTGTAAACCACAACACAACATGCCAACTGCCATTACATGTGTGAATACAAAAGAAGAAGAAGTTAACATATAAAATATAAGCGGTGTGAAGAACTAAATACAAGAAGGCTTTTTGTGACAAATTTGTGACCCTTTGAAATCAAGCTGATTTGTTTGTTCGTTCCCAGACAGATAGAGCAGTTGCAGAGGTGCGAGGTTATCAAGGAAAGTGAAGTCAAAGCACTGTGTGCCAAAGCTAGAGAAATCCTTGTTGAAGAAGGAAACGTACAAGCAGTTGATGCCCCTGTAACTGTAAGTCGTTGTTATCAGCTGTGTAGAAGAGCATTTAAATGTTATCATTTTGACTTTATAAAGTGCGTACAATTTTAATTAATTAAATATTACAATACAAGACAGTCCCAATCAGCATTAAAAAAAAAGCATCTCATTCAAAGCATATTCATTTCCATCCCTGTGTTACTAGTACCAGCATAGTCACTCACCTCAACCAGAAAAGGAGATCAGTAATTATGGAAATAAGATGTCTGAGTAGAGCTACAGGAATGAAATTCGGCACAGAACCATTCTAAATTACATGTAAATACAACAAATCAAATGGAGAGTATACCTTAAGACACCATACCGTACAAGGCATACACCAGAAGAGGAGATGGACAAGGAGCACAAAGTAGACCAAGAACAAAAAAGAAAGAAAACATCGGAGAAAACTCTACAACAGCATGATGTGTCTGTGGTCAAGGCAGCCAGAAGAGCAAGAAGCAGAGCCTTATATCTTCCTCGACACCCGAAGCGGTAAAAGAGGAAGTGGTGAATAATAATAATGCTATTAATCTTCCGGTAATTTGAGGTATTTAAATGTGAGAGCATCAGTTTCATTGTACTAGATTTGTTCCTCTGTGGCTTGTATCTTACAGCAACTTCCGTTTTCAAAATGGCGGATAGCAGCTGTGTTTATTTTCGCTGGCTGTCAATTTTCTCGTATTATTCTGTTTCATAATCATGAACTGCTATTTTGTGCGCATTTCCAACGCAGGATACTATGTGTTTTTCATGGGAGCAGTATGTATTGTGGTTGTGCTATGCCGGGGCGGGATAATGACTGATAGTTTTGGCAGCCTCGACCAGGCTGCCTTCGCAATGTTTTGATCGCGGCGGTCCACTCGTGAAGACAGAATCTCGTCAGCAGGGGACTGCAACTGTCTAGAGAGCAAACTCGATAAAAGCTGTCCCTAGAAACGGAATCTGTTGATCATATATTTGATGGGGAGGAATCGACACATACAGTGGCCTTGGCCGTATCTCACAGCAAAAAATGGCACAACACAAAGCATGGAACTTCATCATCATTATCATCTTGTAACAGTACATGTCGTTGGGTCACCAGTTTCTGTTGACTGTCTGATCAGCTCTCTCCACCTTTGGCGGTCAGTTGCCATGGACTTCATGGTTGCATGCATGTGGCCTGTCCAGTAGGTCAGGTTCTGTAGCCCGGTCTTTCTTGGTCTGCCTCTTCATAGTTCATAGTTCCGTCAATAACCCATAGGGAACACTGAAGTATCTGCACTGATGGATTTCTGTAAGGTTTGTAGAGATAATCATCATCATGTAGCAGGTCCGTTTGCAGAATGTTGCTCCCATCGCAGCATGCCTCAAAGAAGCTCGGCCTCTCACCAGATCCCACCCTGTGACTTTTCCACCCAAGGTGTCACTTATATCCTGTGCCCATCCATGTGCTGGTCTGGCTCTGCCTCTCTTTCCTGGTACCATGCATTCTGCTGTTATTATTTCCATTGTGCCGTGTGCTTGATATAGCCACAATGTTTCAATTTCCAGAACAGGATGCTGTTTACTAGCCAATCTTTCTTCATGGTCAGGGTATCAGTATATTTGTCTTCTTGGTCCAAGGTATTCCGAGAATCATTCTATAGCATTTCAGCTCAAATATCTATTTTATTCCTCACTAATGGGGTAGTCCACGACTCACATCCATATGTTGCTGCAGGGAAGACTCATGCCCCTAAAATGTTGCCATTGATTTCCTTTCCGGTGCTTTACCATTGACTTGTAATCCTGTTTAAACTTGTAGATATATATAATACATATATTTATTATGTAGGTTTATGGGAATATACCATAAATAAATTTATTCTCTAGGTTTATAGAGATGTATAAAATAAATAAGTAAAGGATATATATTTATATATATAATGAAATATATTTATTCTATTGGTGTGTGGCGATATACAATAAATGGATTATTTTATAAGTTTATGGATATTTATGTGTATGTATTCTGGCGTTTTTTGTATGGACATACAGTAAATGTATTTATTCTATGTTTGTTAGGACTTATAATATGCGTACAGTATACAACATTATGTATATTTACTTCACAGGTGTGTGGAGACATACATGGACAATTTTATGACCTGAAAGAATTGTTTAAAGTTGGCGGCAAGGTGCCAGAGACAAACTACCTCTTTATGGGAGACTTTGTTGATAGAGGCTTCTACAGTGTGGAAACCTTTCTCTTGCTTCTGGCTTTGAAGGTGAGTTGTGGAAACCTTTCTCTTGCTTCTGGCTTTGAAGGTGAGTTGTGAAAACCTTTCTCTTGCTTCTGGCTTTGAAGGTCAGTTGTGGAAACCTTTCTCTTGCTTTTGGCTTTGAAGGTGAGTTGTGAAAACCTTTCTCTTGCTTCTGGCTTTGAAGGTCAGTTGTGGAAACCTTTCTCTTGCTTTTGGCTTTGAAGGTGAGTTGTGAAAACCTTTCTCTTGCTTCTGGCTTTGAAGGTCAGTTGTGGAAACCTTTCTCTTGCTTCTGGCTTTGAAGGTGAGTTGTGAAAACCTTTCTCTTGCTTCTGGCTTTGAAGGTCAGTTGTGGAAACCTTTCTGTTGCTGCTGGCCTTGAAGGTCAGTTGTGGAGACCTTTCCGTTGCTGCTGGCCTTGAAGGTCAGTTGTGTAAACCTTTCTCTGGCTTTTAAGGTGAGTTGTGGAAACCTTTCTCTTGCTTTTGGCTTTGAAGGTGAGTTGTGAAAACCTTTCTCTTGCTTTTGGCTTTGAAGGTGAGTTGTGGAAACCTTTCTCTTGCTTCTGGCTTTGAAGGTCAGTTGTGGAGACCTTTCCGTTGCTGTTAGCTTTGAAGGTCTGTTGTGGAGACCTTTCTGTTGCTGCTGGCCTTGAAGGTCAGTTGTGGAGACCTTTCCGTTGCTGCTGGCCTTGAAGGTCAGTTGTGTAAACCTTTCTCTGGCTTTTAAGGTGAGTTGTGGAAACCTTTCTCTTGCTTTTGGCTTTGAAGGTGAGTTGTGGAAACCTTTCTCTTGCTTCTGGCTTTGAAGGTCAGTTGTGGAGACCTTTCCGTTGCTGTTAGCTTTGAAGGTCTGTTGTGGAGACCTTTCTGTTGCTGCTGGCCTTGAAGGTCAGTTGTGGAGACCTTTCCGTTGCTGCTGGCCTTGAAGGTCAGTTGTGTAAACCTTTCTCTGGCTTTTAAGGTGAGTTGTGGAAACCTTTCTCTTGCTTTTGGCTTTGAAGGTGAGTTGTGGAAACCTTTCTCTTGCTTTTGGCTTTGAAGGTGAGTTGTGGAAACCTTTCTGTTGCTTCTAGCTTGGAAGGTGAGTTGTGGAAACCTTTCTGTTGCTTCTAGCTTGGAAGGTGAGTTGTGGAAACCTTTCTGTTGCTTCTAGCTTGGAAGGTAAGTTGTGGAAACCTTTCTGTTGCTGCTAGCTTTGAAGGTGAGTTGTGGAAATCTTTATGTTGCTGCTAGCCTTAAATGTTCAGTTGTGAAGACCTTTCTGTTGCTGCTATCCTTGAATGTGAGATGTGGAAACCTTTCTCTTGTTGCTGGCCTTGAGAGTTGTGGATGCATTTCTGTTGCTCCTGACCTTAATTGTGAATTTTATGTGCAAGCAACCTGGTTTATACCCAACATGCTTATTTGTTTGTTTTTCTGGATTTGGCTAAGGCTGATTATTTGTTCACTAGCTGTCAGATGGAACAGCGAGGAGCATTTTTTGTCACTTTTATTGGCACAGGAACAAAGCAAATATAGGGTGACCTGTGTGCAGCAAAGTTGAAACCTTGACTCAAACTACTACTGCTACTATTAATATTACTGCTACAGCTACTACTACCACGTGCTCACCTGCAGATCTGAAAGTCATGGGTTCAGTTCCTGACAGAGCTGGACTATTTTTTAAATTATAAACTGACCTTTGCTCCCAGCTTGACCCAGCCATAAATAGGTACAAGGTAATGTCCTGGGAAGTAAAGGTGGCTGACATGTTGTTGACCTCATCACCTACCAAGTGCCGATTGGTCTATAAAATATCTATCTAGGCCATATATGCCCAATAAGCCTAAAGGTAAACGGTTTTTTAGTTAACTTTTTCTTTTGTTAAATTAGCAGGCAGCAGTTTTGCTAATTTTCTATTCTAATTTCATCACTGGCATATATTAAATTAAAAATAATGTTAGAATTGAAAATGCTGGTTGTGTGTGTGTGTATATATATATATATATATATATATATATATATATATATATATATATATATATATATATATATATATATATATATATATATATATATATATATATACACACACACACACACACACACACACACACACAAATATATATAAAAACACTTTTTAATTCATCATCATCATGTGCCCTGCCAACTAGCGTAGGCGCCCATGCGTCTCCACAGATCATGAACTCTGGTTGCCTGGAACAGCTCTCTTGATGATATCCCTCCATGCCACAGTTTCAGCCCATCCAGCTTCTCTCTTGGTCTGCCTCTACCCCTTTTCCCACTGATCTTTCCAGTTGTCACAATGTTCTCTACTGTCTCTTTTCTCATTATGTGGCTAAAGAACAGTGTTAGTCTCTTTCTTATTGTTGTATATAGAGATCTACTTTCATTAGCTTCTTACTAGCAATTGTTGTTAGTTACTTTGGCCGTGCAAGGTATTCGTAACATTCGTCTTTGAAACCACATCTCTGTTGCTTCAAAATTCTTTCTCATTTGTTCACTGACATTCCACAATTCGCTGGCATACAGCAGAACAGGCTGTATGTGACATTTTAGCAACCTTTTTCTTAAGATTTAGCGCATTTAAAAACTGTCATGCCTTCAGTTTTGCTTATTGTCAGTGCTAATACCTTTCTCTCACAACCATCCACCTTTGGCAGTTGTGTTGACTAACTCTTATGTAAAGGACCATTTTCCACAACCATTCAGGCATATAGGGCTAGACCTGTAATTTATAGAGCAGTTGGCACTCAGTGGGCGATGTGGTCAACATTATGCCGACCGCCTTTACTTCCCAGGACTTTACCTGGTACCCATTTAAGGCTGAGTCGACCTGGCAACCCACGACCTTCTGAACTGCAGTTGATTAACTGTTGATTGTCAGAATTTCAGTGTATAGCATTGGTTTATATTTATTTGTATGAAGCTGTGAAGCTGCTTATGTGGGCCGAACTGATCAATGCCTGGAGAAACGAGTCGCTGAGCACACTCCAGTACGGGTGGAAAAAGCCATGCAAAATAATATTCAAAACGAAAATACTGGCCGCAGTTCACTCTTCTGCAATAGCATGCCATCTCTAAAATCTGGACACGTGGTGACTAAAAATAATGCATTTCAAATCCTTCATACATCAACCAATGGCAGAAGGCTAAGATTTCTCGAAGCATCCGTGATTTGTCACCTGCGCCCGGAATTTTATTCAGAAAGAGTCTGGTTCTTTCTTTACGGCTGCCCTGGTAAAAACAGGCAGTCATGTTTGATCGTTGTTGAATTTGTACTTCAGTTATAAAGGATTCACTTATTTGCTTCATTTATGTAATTGTTACTATAGTATGCACCTGACGAGATACAGCGAAATATGCCAGGCAATAAATTGTGCAATCTATTGTTTGTGTCTTCTCTGTTCAAATTTTTATTAATTTTTTTTGGCCTAGGTTCGATATCCAGACCGCATCACACTGATCAGAGGTAACCACGAGAGTCGACAGATCACACAGGTTTACGGCTTCTATGATGAATGTTTGCGGAAATACGGCTCCATAACCGTTTGGCGTTACTGTACAGAAATCTTCGATTATCTTAGTCTGTCTGCAATTGTAGATGGCAAGGTAAGGCTTTTTAAAACTGCTTTTATGTATTTACTTGACTGCTTCATCACTTATACTGGAAGTTATGATTCTTTCATGTTTGATGCCAGATTTTTCTCCTTTAATTTTTTAAAAGCTGGTTAAAAACTTGAGGGTCAATTAATTTTTTTGAAAATTTTTTTATCTTCTAAACTATAATTGGTGTTGAACATGTTTATCGCACGAACATAACAATTAAGCACATTATAAGTCATTTTATGTCCTTTTTAATTTTTTTTGTGTTGCTTACTAGTTGCAGTAAATGACTGTACACACATCTACCTACTTGATCTTCTGTGTATCAGTGAGTTTTTTCAGTGAATGACTGTACACACATCTACCTACTTGATCTTCTGTGTATCATGAGTTTTTTCAGTGAATGACTGTACATACATTGTTCTTCTTCTTCTTCGTGTTCACTGACTGTAAACTCCAGCAGAAAGTTCTAGTTGTTCATCCATTCTGGACTATAGACTTGTTCCAGAACTTGAGTTTTGCATGCATATTCATTTTTACAGATCTGGCTTTTTTGTATGCAGACTGTTGGTTCCTTGCTTCTCAGGGAGACGCACTCTGACTTTGAAAGAAACCCAACTAGTTAGCTGACATGCTTGTTAGGGGGCAGTGGATCTCCCCCCCCCCCCCCCCCCCCCCTCCTTCTCCACCATAGGGACTCAGATCCCATACAAGGAGAACACAAATTTTACCTTCTTGATCTTCTATGATAGTTGAGGTTTATCAGTAAATGACTGTACACAATTTTACCTTCTTGATCTTCTATGATAGTTGAGGTTTATCAGTAAATGACTGTACACAATTTTACCTTCTTGATCTTCTATGATAGTTGAGGTTTATCAGTAAATGACTGTACACAATTTTACCTTCTTGATCTTCTATGATAGTTGAGGTTTATCAGTAAATGACTGTACACAATTTTACCTTCTTGATCTTCTATGATAGTTGAGGTTTATCAGTAAATGACTGTACACAATTTTACCTCCTTGATCTTCTGTGACAGTTGAGGTTTATCAGTAAATGACTGTACACAATTTTACCTCCTTGATCTTCTATGATAGTTGAGGTTTATCAGTAAATGACTGTACACAAATTTACCTCCTTGATCTTTTGTGACAGTTGAGGTTTATCAGTAAATGACTGTACTCAAATTTACCTCCTTGATCTTTTGTGACAGTTGAGGTTTATCAGTAAATGACTGTACACAAATTTACCTCCTTGATCTTCTGTGACAGTTGAGATTTATCAGTAAATGACTTACATATTTACCTCTAAGATCTTTTGTGTGCCCTAAAGATTTATCAGTAAATGACAGTACACAAATTTACCTCCTTGAACTTCTGTGACACTCAACGTTAATCACTAAATGACTACACAAATTTACCTCCTTGATCTTCTGTGACAGTTGAGGTTTATCAGTAAATGACTGTATACAATTTTACCTTCTTGATCTTCTATGATATTTGAGGTTTATCAGTAAATGACTGTACACAAATTTACCTTCTTGATCTTCTATGATAGTTGAGGTTTATCAGTAAATGACTGTACACAATTTTACCTCCTTGATCTTCTATGATAGTTGAGGTTTATCAGTAAATGACTGTACACAAATATACCTTCTTGATCTTCTATGATAGTTGAGGTTTATCAGTAAATGACTGTACACAATTTTACCTCCTTGATCTTCTATGATAGTTGAGGTTTATCAGTAAATGACTGTACACAATTTTACCTCCTTGATCTTCTATGATAGTTGAGGTTTATCAGTAAATGACTGTACACAAATTTACCTTCTTGATCTTCTGTGACAGTTGAGGTTTATCAGTAAATGACTGTACACAAATTTACCTCCTTGATCTTCTGTGACAGTTGAGATTTATCAGTAAATGACTTACATATATTTACCTCTAAGATCTTTTGTGTACCCTAAAGATTTATCAGTAAATAACTGCACAAATTTACCTCCTAGATTTTCTGTGTACATTACAGATTTATCAGTAAATGACTGTACACGCTTGTCTCATATCTTTTTTGTGTATACAGGTTTATCAGTATATGACTGTACACAATTTTCCCTCCTTGATCGTCTGTGTATATTAGAGATTTATCTGTGACTATATAATTGTAATGAAAAGTGAAAACAAGGGTCTTAGTTTGAACTGCAGAAAAATAGAAGTAATAGTAATTACAAAGAGAAATGACCCTCCAAAATGCAGCATCCAAGTGACTGGGGCAAACCTCAAGCAAGTTGATATGTTTGAGTACTTGGGTAGCCTGACAACATCAATTAGAAGGTGTATTAAAGACATTAAATGTAAAATAGCTCAAACAAAGGCAGCATTTTACAAAATGAAGAATATGTTATGCAATATAACTTTGTCAGTTGAGACCAGAAAGATAATTCCTAATAGTTATATAAATCCTATCTTGATATACGGAAGTGAATCTTAATCTTGGACAGTGGTTAGGGTTATTGAAAATTTCTATGGAAATTTGTTTTGTTTTTTAGATGAATGATAAGAATACCCTGAACAGATATAAAGTGTAATGAAGATGTCTTGAAAAAAACTGACCCACGAAGAGAACTGATTGCCCACATCAGAAAGATAAAATCTGCATTCTTCTGGGTGTGATGAGAGGGAGAAAACTGGAGTACATCGTGACAGTAGGAAAGTTAAAGGGGAGGAGAGGCAGAGGGAGACCGAGAGAAAAGATGCTGAACAGTTTGACATCATGGCATGGAGGTTCATCTGTGTTAGAGTTGATTGAAAGAACATGAGACAGAAGGTTATGGATAGACACGACTACCATTGCCACACGGCGTGGACTTTAACAAGAAGAAGTTTACACAAAGTCTATACAAATTTACCTCCTAGATGATCTTTGTACATTAGAGATTTACCAGTCAGTGACTGTACACAATTTTATCTCCCAGATCTTCTGTGTACATGGAGGTTTGTCTCCTTCCATCACATCCCTTGACCAGATCAGACAGATTGACAGGAAGCAAGAGGTTCCCCATGATGGCCCCATGTGTGATCTGCTGTGGTCAGACCCTGAAGGTAAGAGTGAATTTAGTGTCAATATCAAGCAGATACACCAACCACATATCACAATTGAAAATGAAGACATAAAAATATAACCGATTTCAAATACTTGGGCTCTTTAGTGAATAACAGTGGCGACTGCTCGAAAGAAGTCAGAAAAAGACTTGCATTAGCAATGCAGAGATTAAACAACATGAAGAACCTGTGGCAAAGTGCTAGTAAACTGGTTAAAGTAAAAATCTTGAGATCATGAATTTTTCCTGTGACAGCTTACGGTTGTGAGTCTTGGACTCTCACTCAGTCACTGAGGAAAGCGATTTTTTGAATTGAACTGTTATAGGAAAGTTCCTAAAATATCATAGATCAAGAAAAGGAAAAACATAGACATTCTAAATGAGTTGAACATCAGGGAGAACTGGTTCATAAACAACATCCTGTCACAAAAGTTGTTGGCCACATCAAGCATCATAGTGGCTTGGAAAAAAAAGGAGATAGATAGTGCAGTTTATGGAAGGCGAGGCAGGGGTCGACCACTGAGAAGATGGATACAGGACATTGAAGAAGTATTGGCATTAAAAGCACATGGGGCTTGAGAGCTGGCTAGGGAAAGGGAGACTTTCAGGCCTGCCGTTAGGAGAGCGACGTTCTGTGAAGGACTTGCTGATTGATGATGATCAAGCAGATCCACCAGAGACAGTGTGCCATTGTTTGAAAATTCCCTATGTGGGTTCTGGGGCCCCTTTGTGGGAAATACAAGAATAGATCATCTGCCTACCCAGCAAGCATGTCATAGGAGTCTACTAATTGGGGGCATCCTTCGAATTTGGAGTGCATCTGTCTGCAAGGCAGGTAAGCAGCAGGCTGCATAAAGATCAGCCGGATCTGTAAAACGGGTATGCAAGCAACACTCAGGTTCTGGAACAAGAATAAAGTCTGGTCATGGAAGAACAACCAGAACTTTCCGCTGGAGTTTACACCCAGTGGACGCGAAAAAGAAGTTTAAGAATAATTTCACTTGCTCAAGCAAGGTATAGATTGCTGTATTTGTTTATAAAATGCAATGTGAACTGAGATTTGATACAGAGATGCTGATGCAGAGTTGCTCCCTTCTTCTGCTGCCTTTTTAGCCCCCACAGGAGCATAGGTCCTCAACCAACTCACGCCACGTCGCTCTATCCCTTGCTGTCGCATGCAGCTCTTCCCATGTCCTCCCCATCTTCTAACTTCATTCTCCAGTTCCCTTCTTCATGTGTTTTTGGCCTTTCTTTATTCCTATGTCCCTGTGGGTTCCGCTGCAAAGATATTCTAGTTATATTGTTCTCTGGTTGTCCCAACCGATGTCCTATCCAACAGCTGCATCTTTTCTTCACCTCTTGGTCCACTGGAGCTTGCTTAGTTCTCTCCCAGAGCTCTGCATTAGTGATTCTACATTCCATTTAATCCCCTCTATTCTGCGTGGGCACCAGTTAATGAATGTCTGTAGTTTTTTAGTAATTGCTTCCTACCGTTGTCAAAATCAGTGCAAAGTGATCTGCTCCTAGATTGCCTGCAGCTGAAAAGAACTTGGTATTTCAATTATGGGTTGTGTATGTTACCCCTGAGCCACAGGTACCAGAGATGTACTATCTGGAAAGAATTCTGCCACTACTTGCCAGTGCCTGTGGGAAGAAACATGGACAGCACTGACATTATCAACACTGTATGGACTAAGCTGGCAGACCGTGAGAAAACTCCGGTGATAACGTGACCTGAGAGTAAAGCTTGATAAAGCTTGTCTGTGCTGTCTTCGAGGTCAAGACAGTAAACACTTTAACTAACTACTCATGAGAACAGTCAGTAGAAGTGCATGGAATGGCTGCTGCTATGGACGGCCAGAGTAACTAATAACGATTGCTTGATAGAAACTAAAGTAGATCTCCAAATACAACAATAAGAAAGAGACAAACACTGTTCTTTGGCCACATAGTGAGAAGCGAGACATTGGAGAACACCCTGACAACTGAAAAGGTCAGCGGAAAAAGGGGTAGAGGCAGACCAAGAGTGATGATTATGGATGGGCTGAAACGATGGCATAAAGGAATATCATCAAGAGAACTTCCAAGCAACCAGGGATCGTGATCTGTGGAGACCTATAAGCCTACGCCAGTTGGCAGGGCACATGATGATGATGAATATTGGAATGAGTGCCATGGGAATGGCTTGTGTGCAGTGGCATCAATTGTAACATAACATTGAATAATTTGTTTGTCTTGTCTTCAGATATGCAGGGGTGGGGTGTCAGTCCGCGAGGAGCCGGCTATTTGTTTGGCAGTGACGTGGTCAACTCCTTCTGTCAGGTGAATGAAGTGGACCTGATCTGTCGAGCTCATCAGCTGGTGATGGAGGGCTACAAATGGCATTTTGGAGAGATGGTGCTCACTGTGTGGTCAGCACCTAACTATTGTTACAGGTGATTTTTCAGTAAAACACTTCAGTCTTTTGCAATCTGATTGATGGCGACCAGTGTTGAAGCATTAAGTTATTGATAGAAAGTCTGTTAAGCTTAATAATGTTTATATTAATTTGTTAATCGAGGGTCGACGTGGTCAGGGTGATAGGTTTGTTGTGTGGATCCCTGCGATGACTCTGCAGGGTATCATAAAAGGGCTGGGACTAGGATGGTCCCAGTGTAGCCAAGAGTGACTAAATTACACAGATGAATCATTAATAGACTGTTAAGAACAGTGTGTCTCAAACTATTTACAACTGTAGCCCATCAAAACAAAGTAATTTATTTGGTGGCCCATCTGACAGTTAAGCAGACACAGAAAACAAAATGTAGGTAGCAGTAGTTTTATTAAATTAAGTGTCACAAAATTACAGGATTCAGCTGCTGTTACGTCTGCTGCTGCTCAGAGGTTAGAAAATGTATGCATTTGAAGGGGTTATCAATGCCAAACATGGACAATGAATAGGGCACTAGAACAGAAATTAACTACATATGAAATGCGCTGTCTCTGCAAGGTCACTAACAACACAAGAAAAGACAGGGTTAGGAATTCCAACATTAGAGAGTAAGTCAGAATAAGACCATGTGAATGAAACTGACTTATAATTAGAATGCAGCCAGGCCAAACTGCATATGAAACTTTCTACAGCAAAAGATCTGGGAGCAAGGCTAGAGGAAGACCCAGAAAGTAGTGGATAAATGGTGTAGCTGAAACCTGCAAAAAGCTGAACAAACCCGTCACCTGAAAAGCACCAGACAAATACAGTAGACCATGACACTTGTAATAGTAAGATGACAAATGAAGAAGAAGAAGAAAGGGTGTGCCTGCATTTGTAACTGTTTTTTTTCCATCCTGGATGTGTTAATCATACAGACTATGATCATGGATACAGAAAAACCAACTGCCCCACCCTGTTACATGATGCATCATCATCAAGTGCCTTGCCATCTGGCTTAGGCGTTTATACCTCAGTCGTTTGCAAATCTTGGTCTTTGGCATTCTTGATCAATTCTACTGATAATAATCCTCCATGCTACTGTCTTGAGCCATCCACCATCGTTTCTCTTGGTCTGCCTCTTCAACCCGTGATCTTCCTGTCGTCATGTTTTTTTTTTTCCCCATGCTCCTTTTCTCATTACACGAGGAGGCACTCAAAAAAAATGTGGCCCACCCACCTGGACTTTTCTATGGGCTGTGGAATTTTGGTCTAGTGTCTAGAACACAGGACATACTGGTGATGTTTATAGTCGTTCCTTACTGTGCAGGGTTTGTGGTTGTCTTCAGTCGCTGCTGTTTCATCTTAGGGTTTAAAAGCTTAATCCTAACTACACACTCAGTTACTGACATTGCTGATGTGCTGCATACATACAGAGCTTTGATATGATCGCTTGCATGCTCATCTCTACGCTGTCGTTTTCCTTCAACACTGTAAAACGTGTTTCAGCAGCCCCTCGACAGATGTGACCAGTGTCTTAAGACTGCTGCTAGCTGCTTCAAAATATTCAAATGTCAAGACTCCAACAGTTGTGCACTTCTATCCGATCTCTGCAATGCCAGATCACTGAATAAGGTTCAACCCACTCTTCATTCCATGCATTCAGTTTTCCACGCATAATCCTAACATGGCTCACATTCCTGTGTATTTCCTAAGAATCTTGCGATGTTTGTCATTATCCATTCTGGCCTTACACCCCAATAAGCTATTCCTCTTAACACACAATTTATTTTCCGTATGTTTTTCCCCACTATGGTAAAACTGCAATTCTTATGTAAAACATTGATCATTACAGTCCCTGTTATTGTCACTGTAGCTGTTGAGTTCATCCTGTGTATGATACTCTCAGCAGGTGGGGTTTGGGGAGAGGCCGCATTGACACAGCAGCTAAGAGGCTTACATGTCTGTTCTTAGATCATAAGTTAAACCCCTTGGATTTTTCTATTAGAACTGACCAAGACTCCAGATATATTCTACTTCTTTTTCTCTTCCTCTAGATTTTTTAGAGTAGAGTTTATGAGAATTTAGAGTCGTCGTGGCATAGTGTCTAGGTGCTCGCCTGCTGATTAGGAAGTCATGGGTTTGCTCCCTGGCAGACCCAGACTTTTTTTTCTTTCAAAAATGACCTTGGCTCTCAGGTTGACCCAGCCTTGAGTCCAGTCCCAGAAAGTAAAGGCGACCAGCTTGATGCTGAACACATCACCCATCTTGTGCCAATTGGTCTATAAAATATAGCTCTGTGTGCCCTATACACCTGAAAGGCTTGGAAAAGCGTCATTTACTTTTTTACTTTATGAGAATTATAATGCTTTTTAAAGGAATTTTGAATTTTAAAAAAAAAATACTTTTTAAGATTTTTCTGGGTTGGGAGGGTTAACACAACATAAACTTTTACCATTAAGCTCAATAGAGGCAAAGGAAATGATGCTCATAAATATAGCATATCTTCGGCTAATGTAACATTTATTTATATCCCATTTTTTCTTCTTCTTCTTCTTCTTCTTCTTTGAGTTCACCAGCTGTAAACTGTGGTGGAAAGTTCTTTTTGTTCTCCACTTCTGGCCTGCAGTTCTGTTCCAGAACCTGAGTGATGCATGTACATCTGTTTGACATATCTGACTCATTGGTGTGCAGATTGTTGGTTTCTTGCCTCTCAGATGCACTCCGACTTCGAAGCAAGCTCCCAGTTAGTTGACTCTTATGCCATGCTTTTGGATAAGCAGTGGGTCTTTTCTTATTTTCCCTATAACAGGGCCCTATAACCCACACAAGAAATATCCCATTTAAATGTTCTCTTTTTTCGTGCATTAATTACTGATTTGTTTTGCAGTAGCTCTCCCTATTTAAGTTTTTCACATTTCCGTTTTATGCATCCTTCCTGGTTGTTTATTTTGATCAACCTTTTTGTTTTATTCATTGATAAATAGTTTTGTTAAACATTTCGTTATGTTTGCAAGTTTTTTGTACATCTCCCTCTATTTTTCTTTTTCTCCATCTTACCTGTTGTGGCGATGTACTTCAGTTTTCCCTTTCTAGCAATTCTAGAACTAGATGAAAACTTGAAGAGAGATTTTACAATATTTGAAGCAGCTCCACAAGTAAGTTGTCCTCTGTCAGTTCTATCTAAATGGTGCAAATGTTTGAGGGAGGTGGATGGAACACCAAACATGTGCCATGAACATGATTGAGGCTGGTGTATTTTGGGACGAGAGATGTAGGGGTGACAGCTACCTTGTGCCATGAATGAGGCTATTATGTTGTGGGAGCGCATGAGTGTGACAGCCACCTTGTACCATGAATGAGTCTAGTATGTTGTGGGAGGGCGTGAGTGTGACAACCACCTTGTACCATGAATGAGTCTAGTATGTTGTGGGAGGGCGTGAGTGTGACAACCACCTTGTGCCATGAATGAGGCTAGTATGTTGTGGGAGGGCATGAGTGTGACAACCACCTTGTGCCATGAATGAGGCTGTTATGTTGTGGGAGGGCGTGGGTGTGACAACCACCTTGTGCTGTGAATGAGGCTGTTATGTTGTGGGAGGGCGTGGGTGTGACAACAACCTTGTGCTGTGAATGACGCTCTTATGTTGTGGGAGGGCTTATGTGTGACAACCACCTTGTGCTGTGAATGATGCTGTTATGTTGTGGGAGGGCGTGGGTGTGACAACCACCTTGTGCTGTGAATGACACTGTTATGTTGTGGGAGGGCGTGGGTGTGACAACCACCTTGTGCTGTGAATGAGTCTGTTATGTTGTGGGAGGGCGTGGGTGTGACAACCACTTTGTGCAGTGAATGAGTCTGTTATGTTGTGGGAGGGCGTGGGTGTGACAACCACCTTGTGCTGTGAATGAGGCTGGTATGTTGTGGGAGGGTGTTAGTGTGAAAATCACCTTGTGCAGTGAATGAGTCTGTTATGTTGTGGGAGGGCGTGAGTGTGACAACCACCTTGTACCATGAATGAGTCTGTTATGTTGTCCGAGGGCGTGAGTGTGACAACCACATTGTACCATGAATGAGTCTGTTATGTTGTGGGAGGGCGTGAGTGTGACAACCACCTTGTACCATGAATGATTCTGTTATGTTGTGGGAGGGCGTGAGTGTGACAACCACCTTGTACCATAAATGAGTCTGTTATGTTGTGGGAGGGCGTGAGTGTGACAACCACCTTGTACCATGAATGAGTCTGTTATGTTGTGGGAGGGCGTGAGTGTGACAACCACCTTGTACCATGAATGAGTCTGTTATGTTGTGGGAGGGTGTGAGTGTGACAACCACCTTGTACCATGAATGAGTCTGTTATGTTGTGGGAGGGTGTGAGTGTGACAACCACCTTGTACCATGAATGAGGCTATTATGTTGTGGGAGGGCGTGAGTGTGACAACCACCTTGTGATGTGAATGAGGCTGGTATGTTGTGGGAGGGTGTGAGTGTGACAACCACCTTGTGCTGTGAATGAGGCTGGTATGTTGTGGGAGGGTGTGAGTGTGACAACCACCTTGTGCCATGAATGAGTCTGGTATGTGATAGGAGGGCGTGAGTGTGACAGCCACTTAGTTCCATGAATGAGGATAGCACATGTCGGAGGGAGGTGGTTGTTTCAGCCATCATGCGTCATTTATGAGGTCAGCAAACATATTTTGAGAGGGCATGGATATTACGCCCCTCCTGTACCAGACATAAGATGACATTTGTTTGGAGGAGATGGATGTTGCCTCCCATCCTGTGTCAAACCATTTGCCTACTGCTCTGATTTTCATGGGTTTGTTTCCTGGGCATGAGATGAGGCTCAGTTCACAAGTGTAGTTTTTATGGAGATCCCCAGGGATTATCACTATACAGAGTTTCTGGCTTGTGCAGCTCTCTTAGCAGATGCTAACCATTGTGTGGAGAGATACCAAGCTATATGGCAGGGCTGTTCAACTAAGCTTACTTAGGGGCCAAAACTTTGAAAAACGATTATTATCACACTCGTTACCGGCCAGAGGTCCGTGCCCAAGTGTAGAAAGGTCATCCATACAATTCAGCTGGCAATGATCAGCGAGCCACTTGCTAGGCCTGTGCGGGCCGCCAGTTAAAAAGACCTGCCATATGGGATACAGCCCTGTGCAATGAGGACGTTCCTCTCAAATTTTAACTTTTGTTTTGTTCTTTTCTGCACAGGAATCAAGAGGAGTACCATCTAAGAAACCACAGCCAGATTACTTTCTGTAGTATGTTGTTTCAGTACATTTATGCAGCTTACCTGTGACTCATACTGATATCAATTGCTCATCGGAAACACTGCAGCAATCCAGTAATTTGGGGACTAAACTTTAGTGATGAAAAGGATGAGTGTCTGGCTTGTGTCAGTTTAGTGTCAGACATTAGTTGGTGAAGTCATGTAAGGATGGTGCAAGGTCTGTTTAGTGTGTAAGAATGACATGAGGTCTGTCTAATGTATGTCTCTGCTATCTATGTCTGGATTTCACTTGTCTTATCTATACTTTATATGTCTGGATACCACTTGTCTTGTCTATGCTATGTATGTCTGAATACCACGTGTCTTGTCAATGTTATTTACGTCTGGATATCACTTGTCTTGCATCTTTTAAATATGTCTTTACACTCTAGCCAGGTCAATGTTATGTTTCTTGAAAGCACTCATCTATTCTATGCCAAATATAATTTGACTTTACTTGTCTATGTTATGCATGTCTTCCCACCATTTGTCAGGTCTGGCTATATTGTAACTCTTTCTAGGTTTGGTTTATGTAAACATTGACACGACTTGTCTGGTATATGTTGTGTTTTTGCTAATACTACTTACTAAGTCTGTGGTAATTACAAACTTTTCCTGGTGTTTTCTAACTCTTTTGATGATCGTATGTTTATTGGGAAGTCTAAAGACTGCATTTCTCTTTCCCGTCTCATACTCTCTTTCCTGTCTGATAGAGTTGTTAATGTAACTCATTATATTCAAATTGTCACTTTTACCCCCTCTATCCCGTAGTTGTATTATTCTAACTACTTTGATCTCATTCAGCTTTTTTTCACTTCATCTGTTACAGCGGGACATAACTTGTCTTGTCTGGCTATGTATGTCTGGACATTACTTGTCTTGTCTGGCTATGTATGTCTGGACATAACTTGTCTTGTCAATGCTATAAATGTCTGGACATAACTTGTCTTGTCAATGCTATATATGTCTGGACATAACTTGTTTTGTCACATGGGGCTCCACAATCAGGGGAAAGGCGAGATGGGTATACAATCAGACAGTGCCATTGGAATTGGAACTCTTCGCTTGCTGCTGAAGATGGGGACAGAGTGCTTATGGGGGTGTCCCGAGTGCTGCTATGTTGATACCTAATTCAGCATTCTTTTACTGCTTCAGATGTCGAGGGAGATATAAGCTTGTGCTTCTTCCTTTCTGGCCGCCTTGACTATAAACAATTGTGCTGTTGTAAAGTTTCTCTGATATCATCTTTCCACCTTGTTTTTGGTCTACCTCATGCTCTTTTAGTTTGTCTTGTATGCATGGCATTACAGGGCATTCTCTATAAGTGGACAAACCATTTCATTGGCTGTCTTTGTATGTAATTTATTATTTGGTTCTGCAACAGATTATTCTCTTACCAATTCGTTCTGGATTTTTATCTCTGTTGTTCACTTCTTCAGCCCTTCTCAGACATTTTGTTCTCACTGGCTCCTTTTACAAGAACTTCTCAGTAATCTGTAAACTTTCAAGTAATCGCAAGGTAGTACCAAAAGAGTTCAGTCTATCCAACACTTAACTGGCTTGTGTTACATGTATAAGGAAGGCAAGAGTTAATGACTTAGCTTTCAGACATGACACTTGAGTTTAAGTTACTAGAATTACCACACGTCATAGAAAGGTATGCTAGGAGGGAAATTCGAAGCCAAATGATGCAGTACTGGATTGCCATTTTGTCTCCCAAGACCTGTAACCATCTTTGCTTTCACACATCACCCTGAAAATAAAAATACAAAAATTATCGTTTTGAAATAGGTTTCTAAATGTATAATTGCCTAATTGAAGTTATTTTTTATGAAATTGATAAAGTGCAACACCTTTATCTGTAAATAAAGTTCATACTTTGAAAGTTTTTGAAGACTGCTAAATTGTTAATACTGGTTGTAACATGCTGGCAATACAAGGATGTGTAAATGGTTTGTAGTATGTGTTGTATACGGTAGTTCTTGTCTGCAATATTGACAGTCACTGCTGTGTGTAGATTCAATTATTATTTTATGAAATTGGTTTATCCTAAGCCCTAGGGGTTATCTTTCTCTTGTTAATTAAAGATCCAAGTTAATGATTAAGCTCAAATATTTTTTTTTTAACTTTAAAAACTTTTCATGTCTGCCTTCCTAGTGTAGTGCCTTCCTGGATGCCTGCTGGCCAGCCCAAAAGTCCTAGGTTTGAATCTGCATTGAAGCAGAGTTTTAATAAACGATATATGGTGGCAAGGTTGATCTTGCCCGACATGAGCGTGAAGAAATGTCTCAGGGAAATAAAGGCAGCAGGTCTGATGTTAGCATGGTTATTCAAGGTTGATTAGCCTATTAACAATCTGGTGTGACACCATATGCCCTATGCTCCAGTGGTATGAAAAAGGGTGTTTTACTGTACTTACTGTTTAAGGAGACAAACACTGCTCTTTGGCCACGTAATGAGAAGAGAGGCATTGCAAAACATCATGGCAACTGGAAAGATCAGTGGAAAGAGGGATAGAGGCAGACCAAGAAAGATGATGCTGGATGGGCTGAAACGATGGCATGGAGGGATATCGTCAAGAGAGCTGTTCCAGGCAACCAAGGATCGTGATCTTTGGAGATGCATGAGTGCCTACACTAATTGGCAGGGCACATGATAATGATGACTGTTTAAGCCTTGAGGGTAGCATTCTTTTAATGTTTATTAAATTCTTTTATTTCACCCCATCTCGGCAACTTCGAGATTTCATGGGGATTTCCTGGGAAAGTCCACTATTTAGGGGGGTCCCTCCTGTGGGGGGGGGGGGGGAGTGTTGGTTGGTGTTGACTTCACACGCTAACACCCCTATTCTTTCCCAGGATTTCCCTACAAAATCTCAAGCAGGTACTGATACATTTTTTCTTCTTCACATTCACTGACTGAACTCCAGCAGAAATGTATGTCTGTTCGTCCACTTCTTGCTCCAGAATCTGGGTTTTGATTGCATATCTGTTTAATAGATCTGGTTAACTTTTATGCAGACTGCTGGTTCATAGCCTCACAGGCAAATGCAGTCTGAGTTCAGAGTCAACATCCCTAATTAGGTCTTACGACCTGCTTGTTAGGGGGCACTGGGTCTGTTCATTTTTATTCCTTACATAGGGCCCCGGAACCCACATGGGATACATCCCTGTTGGGGCCAAAACAGTATGTTCCTGTTAACTGGGTGTTCTTCTGAAGTGAGTCAAAGGTTTTGCTGTATGTGTGAAAGATAGCTATGATTAACTTCATTGTTTTGTATAATAGATAGTTTTCAATGCTGTCTTCCTTGTATGTACACTTCACAGTCTTGTGAAGTAGTAACTAGCTGTGTAATACTTGGGTACTATGTTAGTCCTCATAGAAAATCCTCTCTGAAGCCTCATGTGCCACTAGGCATAACGAGAACTGATGATGACTGTGTTAGAAGATCAGCATGTTTTCTGATCTAACTCTATCGCCCCAAAAAAGTAGTTTTTCCTTCATTTACGGGATTTTGATGACATGGAGTCTTTGGACAGTGGTCACTATACTTAAAAAACAGCTTTGACACTGGTTGCTGCTGCATGATGTGTAGACGTGGGTAAGGTTATATTTTACCAAAAAGAACAAAAAATTATATTTTATTTGGGTCAACCAAAAAAAAATTGCATTTAATCAAATTATGACATCGACATTATATGGTCATACTCTCAGTATGATGTCACTTTGCTCAAGATGGCTGAGTGAAACCACGTTTCTCATGGTCAAAGGGAAAGAAAGCAGGTAATTTCTTGCTCCTTCATATTTAATTATTACTTCCCTTCACATTAAAAAAGCATTACCTTTGCCCAAAATTTGACTATAAATGGGGAAAATATAAATATATATATCAAAATTTTTTTTATAGCTTTAGCGATGTGTGAAGAAGCTGTTGCCCTCATTTTGCCTGTCTGCTTGGTAGTCTAATTAGTCTACCCCCTGGATTTTCATAAAAACTAACCCAGATTTCAAATTTCATTCATTTCTTCTCTTCCTCCACTAGTCTCTTGTGGTAGAGTCTCAGAGAATTATAAGGATGTGTTTCTCTTTAATGAAATTTTGAAATAGGTCATTTGAAAAAATGTTTTTTTTATGGGGTGAAAATGAATTAAGAATCGATATCACAGCGCTCGGGACAACCCCATAAGCTCTGCATCCCCATCTTCAGCAACAAGCGAAGAGTTAAAATTCCGATGGTACCAGTAACTGTCTGATTGTATATCCATATCGCCTTTCCCCTGAGTGCCGAGCGTTGGCCAGATCCCCTGGTAACTCCTCACAGTGTCATTCTCATCAGACATGATCTATCTGCGCCTCAGCACTGTTCACTCGCTCCCAAAGGGCCCTCACAACATCCAGCTTGTCATACTCCATCAGGACATCCCCTGCCTTTTCCCTAGCACGCAGGCAATACTAAGGTGACCTTTTACTTCCTGCACTGAAAGATTATTTTCTATGGATATTATGGGGTGAAAGAGTTCATTAACGAGAATTGTCAAATCATCAGTTCTCGTTATGCCTAGTGGCACATGAGGCTCCAGAGAGGACTTTCCATGCTTTCCTGTCCTGTGCAATCTTCAGTGCAGTTTTCCATGTAAAAGATGCCGCACTCAGGTCACTTTCCATCGTTCGTCTCCATGTTGTTTTTGGGCGTCCCTGTTTTCTCTTTCCCTCTGGTGTCCATGTGAGAGCTGTTTTGGCAGGTATATCAAAAGTCATTCTCATAACGTGGCCAAGCCATTTCCATCTTCTCTTGGTAATCATACTGTCTAAAGTTTCTTGGTTTGTGGCTTGAAGTCAGTTTAGTGTTTGAGATTGTATCTGGCCAGAAAATTTTGATAATTCTACGTAGACATGTGTGGTGGAAGGTGGACAGCTTGTGTACATCCTTTTTGGTCATTCTCCAGCATTCCGCTCTATAAAGAAGAACTGGCAAAATGATGCTCTTGTAGAG